CACGCCCATCCTCGCCAGCCGGATTCAGGTGGGTTCAATATTTGAAGTGGCAGTCCTTGCCACCACCATCCAAACGTCTATTTTGAGGCGTAGATCACTCAGACAAATGAGTCCTTGCAAAGAGGAGATTATTTGAACTGCAGTTGTCGAGGCTTTGGCTTCCACCTCTTGACATTGAAAGCATGTAAGAGCTTTGGTATAGACATTGAAAGCATGTAAGAGCTTTGGTATGGACATTGAAAGCATGTAAGAGCTTTGGTGTAGACATTGAAAGCATGTAAGAGCTTTGGTATAGACATTGAAAGCATGTAAGAGCTTTGGTATAGACATTGAAAGCATGTAAGAGCTTTGGTATAGGCATTGAAGGCATGTAAGAGCTTTGGTATAGACATTGAAAGCATGTAAGAGCTTTGGTATAGGCATTGAAGGCATGTAAGAGCTTTGGTATAGACATTGAAAGCATGTAAGAGCTTTGGTATAAACATCGAAAGCATGTAACAGATTTGGTATAGACATTGAAAGCATGTAAGAGCTTTGGTACAGACATTGAAAACATGTAAGAGCTTTGGTATAGACATTGAAAGCATGTAAGAGCTTTGGTATAGATATGCCAACAAACAAGTAATCGGCATTCGAATAGTATTCGGTATTCGATCGAATACTCGCATAAAAAACGAATCCGAAATTGGCATGCTATTCGCATGTATTCGATCGTCAAGTATTCGTTTCGAGCAAGTATTCGTTCGACAAATATTATAGTACTCGAGAGACATTTGTGTCCACATATCTTCTCCTCTTTCCCTATCTAATATAAGCCTTTCCCTATGTATGTCAAAGAATCGTAAGCTAGATGGTCAAGAAATGCACACATAGAGATGTGTGAATAACAGCCATAATGGTGAGACCTTAGAAAGGTTGGTAGAATGGATCGTTTGGCCATATTTGAGTGTGGAATGTGCATATTCGTGGCACATTTGTATTCGATTCGAATCCGCCAGTATTCGATTCGTATTCGCAATCGACGTGGAGCAGGTATTCGGTCAAATACGATATTGAACACTTATTCGCAAAATATTCGGAAATGAGTATTCGTATTCGATTCGATATTCGTTTTTACAGGCATAGGTATAGACATCGAAAGCATGTAAGAGCTTTGGTATAGACATTGAAAGCATGTAAGAGCTTTGGTATAGACATTGAAAGCATGTAAGAGCTTTGGTGTAGACATCGAAAGCATGTAAGAGCTTTGGTATAGACATCGAAAGCATGTAAGAGCTTTGGTATAGACATCGAAAGCATGTAAGAGCTTTGGTATAGACATCGAAAGCATGTAAGAGCTTTGGTATAGACATCGAAAGCATGTAAGAGCTTTGGTATAGACATCGAAAGCATGTAAGAGCTTTGGTATAGACATCGAAAGCATGTAAGAGCTTTGGTATAGACATCGAAAGCATGTAAGAGCTTTGGTATAGACATCGAAAGCATGAAGAGCTTTGGTATGGACATCGAAAGCATGTAAAAGCTTTGGTATAGACATCGAAAGCATGTAAGAGCTTTGGTATAGACATCGAAAGCATGTAAGAGCTTTGGTATAGACATCCAAAGCCATGTAAGAGCTTTGGTATAGACATTGAAAGCATGTAAGAGCTTTGGTATAGACATTGAAAGCATGTGAGAGCTTTGGCATAGACATCGAAAGCATGTAAGAGCTTTGGTATAGACATTGAAAGCATGTAAGAGCTTTGGTATAGACATTGAAAGCATGTGAGAGCTTTGGTATAGACATTGAAAGCATGTAAGAGCTTTGGTATAGACATTGAAAGCATGTAAGAGCTTTGGTATAGACATTGAAAGCATGTAAGAGCTTTGGTATAGACATTGAAAGCATGTAAGAGATTTGTTATAGACATTGAAAGCATGTAAGAGCTTCGGTATAGACATCGAAAGCATGTAAGAGCTTTGGTATAGACATCGAAAGCAGGTAAGAGCTTTGGTATAGACATCGAAAGCATGTAAGAGCTTTGGTATAGACATTGAAAGCATGTAGGAGCTTTGGTATAGACATCGAAAGCATGTAAGAGCTTTGGTATAGACATTGAAAGCATGTAAGAGCTTTGGTATAGACATCGAAAGCATGTAAGATCTTTGGTATAGACATTGAAAGCATGTAAGAGCTTTGGTATCGACATTGAAAGCATGTAAGAGCTTTGGTATAGATATTGAAAGCATGTAAGAGCTTTGGTATAGACATTGAAAGCATGTAAGAGCTTTGGTAGAGACATCGAAAGCATGTAAGAGCTCTGGTATAGACATTGAAAGCATGTAAGAGCTTTGGTATAGCCTTTGAAAGGATGTAAGAGCTTTGGTATAGACATTGAAAGCATGTAAGAGCTTTGGTATACAAAACTTGTTGAATCCAAGCACTAAGGCATGTAAGGGCCGCCTCCCTATTACTGACGATCTCTTTTCCCTTTCCTTTCTTATCTCTGTGCCTTGCAGTGGGAGGTGTACAAGCAGTTCGAAGGGGCCCTCATAGGCATCACATACGAGGACATGCGCGTGCTGCCTGCCTCTCATGGTTGACAATCTCTTTTCCTTTCTCCCCCTACCCGTGCCTCCTAACCAGTGGGAGGTGTACAAGCAGTTCGAAGAGGCCCTCATAGGCATTAAATACGAGGACATGCGCGTGCTGCCTCTGTCAAGAATAGCAACTAGCTAAACTTAGGAGCCATGGCTAGATTACGAGATAGGGGAGATGCAAGGAAGGTCGAGAGGAACATTTCGAGAGAGATTTGTCAAAGAGGGTTTCAATAATGAACAAGGGTACAAGATATAGGCAAAAGAGGAAACAATTGTACACCACCTGCAAGATCTCATAACTACACTGGGTTCTACTACAGGCAGTTATAAATGTAAACGAATACATTTCAACACACCCCCTAAATGCCTACAGCTAGAACCATGTGCAGTAATCCTCCTGCAGGGGTACACCAAGTGCAGAGAAAACAGCAACAGCAGGCAAGAGCAGTGACAACCGGTGCAATGGTAGCAGATTCAACTTCACCAACCCCTCTGTTAAGGTTGAAGCAGTAGGAGCAGGAGTGTGCGGCAGCAAGGGCGGCGGCACAATAGAAGCAGGTGCATGTGGTGGCAGGCCGCCGGGAGAGCAAGAGCGTGCGGCGGCAAGGGCGGCGGCACAGCAGGGCTCAACGGCAGCACCTGCCAACCAACAGCAGCAGACAGAAAACAAAAGAAAACAGCAGGTGGAGGCAGGGGCGGCGGTTGGAGGTACCACGGTAGCAGCGGGCGGCAGCTGCAAATGCCTGGCTGACTTCCGCCACCGCCTCACCCTCCCCCCCACAGTGGCACATGCAGCTGTGAGAGAGAGAGGAGGAGGGGCGGCTGCTGGCTCAACAGAATCTCTCTCGCCACCCCCTCACACCCCCCCCTTTCCCCCACAACGACAGGCGCTGGAGGGAGAGAGAGTAGAGAGGAGGGCGGCAGGTGGCTCCTTCGGGTGCGCTCCCGCCACTTCCACCCCCTCCCCCTTCCACAGTTGCACGAGCAGCAAAAGTGACAAGAGCCGCGACGGCATCCACCCCCGTCACCCCCACTCACGGCCACCACCCCCAACTCACCCCCCTCCCCCCACACAGCAGGAGCAAACGCGGCAGCAACAGCGGGGCCGATGGGAGGGCGGGTGGGGTAACATGCTGGGGCGTGACGGGTGGGGCGTGGGGGGGAAGCTGTGGGCTGGCCCGGGGGTCGCGGGGCAGCGCGTCAGGCAGACGGTGGCTCACTCAACGGGCAGGCGCAAGGGCGGCGTGACGAGCGTGCGCGGGGCTGGCGACGGTGCAGGCGAGGCCGCAGGTCGACAAAACAGCACAGGGCGACGAGGGGGGGGGCATCCAGCGAGGGCTGCAGCGGCGGGGCGACGAGACAGCGGGGTCCGCGCGACAAGGCGAGCGACAAGCGCCACGGGCGCTGTCCCGAAGCGCACGCGAATCACGTGCGCGTCGCACGTACCCGTCGCACTCGCTAAACGCCCGTGGACCGCGCACAACAGCGAGCTCGACGCCATCAGCTCGCGGAGCTACTGCAGCAGAAAAATGGGCCGCCATCGGAGATGGCGGGTTTGGTGGGCCCATGAACATTAGGTCCTAGAAGCGACCTACTCTGATAGCATGTCAAGAATAGCAACTAGCTAAACTTAGGAGCCATGGCTAGATTACGAGAGAGGGGAGATGCAAGGAAGTTCGAGAGGAACATTTCGAGAGAGATTTGTCAAAGAGTGTTTCAATAATGAACAAGGGTACAAGATATAGGCAAAAGAGGAAGCAATTGTACACCACCTGCAAGATCTCATAACTACACTAGGTTCTACTGCTGGCAGTTATAAATGTAAACGAATACATTTCAACAGCCTCTCGTAGCCCAAGATCTCTTCTTCGTCGAAACCCTCTACGAGGTGTATCCACGCTGGTAGCCCATGCGTGCTTGCTTGCTCATGCTTGCTTAATTCTGCCGCTCCGCACTGTCGTCCACACCCCCTGCTGCTTATCTGCACCTACGAGCGGCGATTGGCAGATCAGCTCGCAGTCGCGGGTGTATACGTTGGGGCACATCCCAACTGCTACTATATACAAACATATATACACATACATATATATACATATATATATATTTATAATTCTGAAAAACACCCTGTAAAAACAATTTCTTAGAATTCTACAAAAATCGCAGCCAAGGGTGTATACGTTGGGACACATCCCAACGTTGGGACACATTGCTACTCTCTTTCTCTTTTCTGATTCTCAAAAACACCCTGCAAAATCAGGTCGCTGTCTAAGTCAAGGGTGTCTGCCTTGTGACACAACCCTCTTGAGGATTCTCAGGGGTCTCTACCTCGTGACACTCCCCACCTGCTACTCTCTGCTGTGTGTGTCCGCAATCCACTAACTTCTCTCCCTGTCTTCATCCCATTTCCCATTCGCATGACTATGCCTCTGAACCGCTTTGGCAGTCCTCCACACCAAACCAAACCACGTGCTGCACCTGCAGAAGCCCCCCTCCTTTCTCCCTGCCACACCGCTCAAGGTGTTTGTCATGCCTCTACTCCCTCTCCCCCTCCGCCTTCCCGCTCTGTCGGCCCCAATAACCCGACCTATAGTAACCCTTTTAAACCGCTTTGGCAATTCTTGAGGTGGAGCCACCTGCTGCACCCCCATGCAGGCTGCCTCTCAATGTACTCAAGGCCTTTCCTCCCTTCCTCTTCCTCCTCCCTCCCGCCCTTCACCACCCCCTCTTCCCCCTGGCTTCAGCCAATCACCCAAACCTGTGGCAACCCCTCCAAGGCTCTCTGGCAGTCCCTCAGGCGCACCCACCTGCTGCACCCACGTGGGCTGCCTCTCTTCCGCCCCGACTGGTCCTACCACCCGCCGCCGCCGCTGTCGCCCCAGCAGACGCATGCGCTGCCACCCGATTGGGTGGTGGTGCTGGCCAAGCGACCCGCTAAGCGACGATCCATTAGTAACTTTGCGGAGGTGGAGGAGGTGGTGGAGAGGGCGTTTCCGAATGAGAGGATTGTGAAGTTCATCAGCTCGCTGTCTGTGCTGAAAGGTGCGATGTTGTGTGTGTGATGTGGACATTGGGCAGACCGAGCTTTTGGGGCAATTATGAAGGTGCCGTGAAGGAAGGTCACTGGCCCACTACCTGCGCTGGAAGGTGCGCTGCTGCTGTTTTTTTAGCACTGAGCGCAACTTTTTTTTTAGCCAAGGTTTGGGGTGCCTCAAAAGACGGTCGCCGGCTTGCTGCCTGCGCTGGAAGGTGCGCTGCTGCTGTGCTGCGAGCGGTGAGCGTATCGTTCTTTTGGAGGCTATGATTGAGGCTCCTTAAAAGAAGGTGCTTGCTGTCTGTGCTGGATGGTGTGCTTATTCACTTGTCCTCTTGTCTCCTCCTCCTCTGATCTTCCATCTTCTCTTCATACATCCCAACCACGCCCATCTATGCAGCTCGAGAGTTGTTTCGGCGCATGCGTCTCTTCGTAGCAGGCCATGGGGCAGCTCTCGCCAACCTCGTCTCCCCCCTCCCTGTCACCTCCCCTTCCCCTCCCACCCCTTCCTGCCTCTCCCCCGCTGGAGCTTGAGAGTTGTTTCGGCGCACGTGTCTCTTCATAGCAGGCCATGGGGCAGCACTCACGAACCTCATCTTCATGCCAGAAAAGGCCTCCGTTCTGGAAATCAGACCAGATGGATGCCCTGTTGTCTGTCACAATCATCTAGCGTATGCGTCGTCGCTCGTCTACCATCTTGTGTTTAGCCATGGCGGGTGTTATGATATTGTACGAGCGAACGTCACAAAGGTTGCATCGGTTCTCCAAAACATTAAGGCACGATTTGACGACGAGAATGCTAGTTTTGTTTGAAATTTATTTGTAAATATAATATTGGTTCTGGTGTCTATAGCAGTGCAAGTGGTTGTAGATATTGTAGGATGTGAAAGCATATCCTTTTGGGTAAGGTATGCCTAGTATCTCTTCTGTTACACAGAATATCGGCTCAGTTACGAGCTTTATCGCCTATTCGCTGCAGATCGTTGCTGTGCTGATGGCACACGTGCCAAGGAGTCCACTCAGCACAATCCAGAGCTGACAGTGATGCTGCGCTGCAGCCAGCACAGCAACGCAAGTCAAGCGTCAAGCATTTCGAACCGAGTCGCGAGTTCGCGTCACAAGAATCCAAAATTGCCCGAAACCTCTTCTTGTCCTACCGCATTTTGCGGTTACGTTTCCGCCGACTAGTCCCACATTCTCCGCCACCCACACCCCCGTGCGGATTGCTCCCTTTCTTGCCCGATTGACTGCGTAGACTGCCGCTCTGTTGTATTTCCCCCCTTTCGCTCCTTTCCCCTCCCCCTCACGTTGTCCCCTTATTGTCCCTCCCTCCCGCCAGCTTCTCCCAACATCCCCGCGCCTCCTCTTCCCCACCCCACCTCCATTTCCCGTTCGTCCCCGCATTCCTTCTTTCCGAGCATATGTACACACGATCGCTCCAGGGACTCTGTCAGGCGATGCCAGCAGAAGGGTCAGCTCGACTCACACTCCCGAGTCCTGACCTGACGTGACGAGTCAGGCGAAGAGATTGTCAGCTGGTATCTGGGCTGGGTAAGGACCTTTGTCGTCGCGCCTGAATAACGAAATTTGGGTTCACATGGGATGATTCTCGACTTTCTAGGCGATATTTCGTCCAAACCTCCCTGCGTCTGCCTTAGTACCACTAATAGGTCCAGACACTACAATTGCCACAAATGTGTCCGGCGACAGAGACCGTCCTCGCTAATACTTCAGATTGGGACGATAAGCTGGGTCAGTAAGTATTACTACATTCACGACGCTCTTAAGTCTGTGCACAACGGCCATCGTGCAACACAACAATAAACGACATCGTACGAGTCATATCGTCCGCGTTATTACACTAAGTGCTCCCCGGCGTCCCCACCGTAATCATGGCGACGCCCTCGAATCTGTGCTTCCGGCGGCGGCGGCTGCGGCCAACCTCGTACCCAAGCTCGCTCCCGCTGCTCCTCGTGATCGGTGGTGCGTGCTCTCAGCGGGTGTTTCTTTTTACAGCGAAATTTTCATGGATAGTCTCACACCAGTAGATTCTCGCACGCCGCGGGTGCCCACACGGAGCCCACGTGGAGCCGAAGTGGAGGCTACGTGGAGGCCACGTAATAGCAGCAGCACCCCACACTATCACTGCCTCTCACCCTCTCCCCTGTCTCCCTCCCTGCCTCCTCTCACCCCTCTTTCCATGCGCCCCCTCCACCCCCGTTTCTTCCGACGCGCGTCGCAGCTGTCATCATCGCGGCCAGTCACCTGACGTCGCCCGTCGCCGCCTCTGCCGCCGGTACGTCCGTCGTTCGTCGTCTTCTGAGGGATTGATCCCGCTCCTCGCGCATGCGAATAGGACAGATTCTGGGTGAAAGGCAGTAGTATGTCTACTGATTCCGATATTGAAAGCCAGTTCTGACCAGAGATTTTGCTCCTGTTCTCCTCGTTTCGGTGCATTTTTCCTCTCCTCGTCGCCTTCTAACCCTCGCTCTCTCTCCATTGCTCGCTCCCCCGCCTCGCCTCTCTCGCATCTTTTGGAAAATAAAAGCTTTCGTCTGCTAAAATCTGTCCTCATCGCCCCCATTGTGTTCATCGTGCCCCCATCGTCGTCTGACTGGCGGACTGGCAGATGCGTATCTCTACGCGCACCTCGTAGACGGCGAGTCGCGAGCCGTCGTCTACCTCTACGTCAAGTGAGTGCCTCCTCTTCTCGCCAACGCCGCCCGTAAGATGACTTTTGAGGAGCTTCAAAAGCCGTCCTTTACCTCTGTCTCAAGTGAGTAAGTCGCCTTCTTGCCGCGCTTTACATGCCTCCTTTCAACGCCGCACTTACAGCTGGATTTACTTCAAGTCAAAACATGCCCTCCCCAAAATCCCCTTCTTTTATCCCTGTTCCCCGTTCCGTCCCATCTTCCCCCGTTTTCCCCCATGCCCCCTTTCCCCAATCCACACGAGTCTCCACCCCGGCACTTCCACTATCCAAATGGCCTGCACGACTTTCTTGACTCCCCTCCCCTCCATCCCTCCCCTTCTCGCCCATTCCCCCCTCTCTCCCCCCACCCACACCAGCTTCGATGCCACCACCACAACCATCCAAGGGGCCTACGAGATCTTCGCAGTTCTCCCCTTTATTTACCCCCGTTCCCCCTCTACTTACCCCCCTCTCCCCTCATCTTGCCCCATTTTATCCCCCACCCCGTTCCCCCCCCTGCTCCCCACCCACATCCAGCTTCGATTCCGCCACCACCACCATCCAAGCGACCCACAAGATCTTCGCAGCTCTCCCCGTCGCCCCGCCCGTCTACATCACGCTGGCAGGCACAACCGTCCCCGGATGCGACCCGCTCAGGTGCAGCCTGCCCCCGGGCAACCCCACGTGGGTGCAGCCCGTGCCGTCCGTGTGGCAAGCCATCGGCACGTTCACCAGCACCCCTGCCACGGACCCCGAGCGTTACGGCGCGCTGCTGCAGCTGATTGATAACTCGCTGGTGTTCCCCGGGGTGGTCATGGTGTATAAGGACGCGCAGGGAGCCATGCGCCCCGTCATGGGACAGCTTCGTGCGGATTCCATGCGGAAGATTCGTAAGTTGGGGTGGTTTCAGTGGGGGTAGTGTGTAGCGAGGGGTGGGAGGGGAGCCCTCGGCACGTTCAACAGCAGCCCTGTCACGGATCCCGAGCGATACGGTGCGCTGCTGCAGCTGATGACAACTCGCTGGTGTTCCCCGGGGTGGTCATGGCGTATAAGGACGCGCAGGGAGCCATGCGCCCTGTGATGGCGCAGCTCCACGCTGATGCCTCGCGGAAGTTCCGTAAGTGCGGGGGTTGGAGAGCGGGTAGTGTAGAGAGGAAAGAGAGGAAAGGGGAAGAAGGGAGGGTGGGGGGAGGGGAGGTCGAGCTTGCAAGCAGGATGTTCCGACCTGCTTGCAAGAAACATCGTGCTTGCAAGAAACATCGTGCTTGCAGCACACGACTGCAAGCAGGACCTTTTTTTTTTTAGCTCTTTCTTGTAGTCGTGTTGTGGTAGCCAGCTTTCCCTTTCACCCTTGTATCTCAACAAGCTTCCTTCCTGCACACCCTTCTCATTCCTGCACACCCTTCTCATTCATTAAAACGCTCTCCTCGCGTTCCAACCCCACCATGCATGATTCTTTCCTTGCTGGCCTCCGCTTCTGCATGCAGTGACAGCCGAACCCGTCCCAGCATACATGCCGAGCCTCTTATTTTAGGCACCTCAAGAGTCGTTCCTCACTCCCCCTCCTCCCCTTTGCTTCTGCCCGCAGTGGAAGTGGGTCCCATCCCAGCATACGTGCCAAGCCCCCAATACGTGGTTCGCTTCCTCTCCTACATGCCAGGCGGTGCCAACATCTCCCTCTCGCAGTCGTGAGTCACCCTCTTCCAGTCGTGAGTCACCCTCTTCCAGTCGTGAGTCACCCTCTCGCGGTCACTCCCTCGCTCGTGAGCGTCGACAACACCGCACCGCACCTTGCACAGCACCCACCACAATCTACATGCCAGGCGGGGCCAGCATCTCCCTCCCCCAGTCATGACTACCTCCCATCGCCCAATCTCACGTTTGTACATGTTGCATGAGCCACGGCTTTGGCCCCATTCCCACCTGCCTCACTGTCGTAACAACTCACCGTGACTTCTCTCTTTCCTCTCTCCTTCCTCCTTCCCGTTCTGTGTCCATTCCATTCCATGCCTCCACACCACAGCCCATCACGGCCTCCTCACTCTCTTCTTCTCTGCACCTGTTCCGTGTCTCCCCCACTACAGAGCCAGTGGGCTGTCCTTCCAGGCGAAATTCGTGGCTGTCGTGGTGTGGTGGTGCCCACCCAGGAGCCCATCATGACCATCTCACTCTCTTCCTCCCTGCGCTCGTTCCGTGTCTCCTCCACTACAAAGCCGATGGCCTGTCCTTCAAGGCGAGCTTTGTTGTTGCCGTGGGGTGGTGGTGCCTACAGATAAACCCGCAGATAAACCCTGGTCATCACTGTCTCCCTCTCTGTCAACTTGCTTGATGCCCTGCCACCCTCCACCACCCCCCTCAATGTATACTTCTGACTTCTGTGTTTGCTCCACTCCTTTCCTCCCCGCTACAGTGCTGACGAGCTGTCCTTCCAGGCGAGCTTCGCTCTTCCCGTGGTCGTACCCACCGAAGAGCCCATCACTGTCTACCTCTCCGTCAACTTCCTCGATGCCCTGCCACCAACCCTCCACCACCACCACCTCCTCATTGCCACTTCTGGCTTCTGTGTTCCTTCCGTTCCGTGTCTCCCCCACTACAGTGCCGATGGGCTGTCCTTCCAGGCGAGCTTCGCTCTTGCCGTGGTCGTGCCCTCAGAGGAGCCCATCAGCGTCTTCCTCAACGTCAACCTGCTTGATGCCCTGCCACCACCCCCCTTGCCCCCTGCCGGGGGGTGCGTGGCTAAGAAGGAGAAAGGGAACAACAAAGACAAGAGCAAGGTTAAGGGGAAGGACAAGCCCAAGTGTAACAAGGGGAAGGGCAAGGGGAAGAAGGGTGGAGATGATGATGAGTGCTGCGACGACGATGGCGACACGCTTCCTCCCCCGCCGCCGACGACGCCCAATGTCACATCCATGCGTGCGCTTCTCTACAGCAACAACAGCCCGTGTGATCTGAACTGCACGTCTGTTATTGTGCTCCACGGCACGCAAAGCTGGAGCTTTGCGGGCTTGACCCCGGAGGCGCTTGCGGCGAGTGATGGGTACAATGCGTTGGTGGCGCTTATGCAGTATGCGGTGACGGGTGTGAAGGGAATGCTCGTGAATGCGACGATGAAGCTGGCTGCGATTGACCAGTCCAATGGCCCCAACGACCTCTTGCAACGTGTATAGTGGGTTACAAGATTGCGGCCCTTGCGGCGAGCGATGGATACAATGCGTTGGTGGCGCTGATGCAGTATGTGGCGACTGGTGTGAAGGAAAGGCTGGTCAATGCGACAATGAAGCTTGCGGCTATTGACTAGCGCAATGGCCCCAACGGGTTTAGCTGCTTTCATGGTAGTAGAATGATGTAATTGCAGCGTTTGTGTACTTATATTGTTTGCTTGTTTGCTCGTTAGTTTGTTTAGTCCCACCCTCGCCTCTCTGTGTGTTGTATTCTCTGCATTTGCATGTTTATTGCGTGGAACTAAGTAGGTGGCCATGTAAAGCTGGATGAAATGATTGTGGCTAATTTGCATGATCTTACTGTCCAGTTTTACAGACCCCACTTTGCACCCGCAACTGTTAACGCATCCATTGCGTATGCTATAACGGGTTTCTGTTTCATTGGTTCCGCCTCGATCTCGCCGCCGACTCTCCAGTTCACCCTTGCACCCACACCGCCGAATCAGACCAGATCAGACCAAATCGGACAGGATCAGAGCGGATCGGACCAGATACTACCACTGTTTTGCTTACTGTTCCCATCGCGACGCGGCAAATTCGATGGTCGCCGTCATGCCAGCTGTCGCGGGAAACGCGCTATTAGCGCACGCCGCGCCGGCCTGTTCAACACACAGCCACAACTCAGCCGCAAACCACGCCGCGACTTACGCTGGTTTCAGCACAAACCGCCGTGAGAGTGGTAGTCGCCGCACATTACGGAGAGGGGTTTCCGATTCGAGCATTTCGCGCGGTCGTTTCACCGACCCCATACCCTTCGGCCTGTCAGTTACGATCTCAAGCGGCTGCTCATTCCAAAACCGACGGCGACGTAGAAGTTACCGAAAAACAGTAGCAGCCGTTGGATCGCCTGATTCAAACGGCGATTGTACGGACGCGGTACACTCGAGCAGCCAACGAGATGAGGCGGCCAAATCTTCTAACGCAGTGGCAACTGCAGAACCCGAGGGAAGAGACAGACCTGCTGACGTGGCAGTTGCTCACGAAGCAGAAGCTGACGTGGCAGCTGTGTCGGAGCAGGATGGACGAGACAGGACAGCAGCAGTGCGAGTGTCAGCTAGTGCTTCGGAATCAGGAAGAGGATCAGACAGAGCAGCAGCGGCGCCACCACCAGCAGCCACAGCAGCAGCACAGGAATCACAAGCAGCAGCAGCAGCAGCGGTGGCGGTGCCGACGCTGGTGGCGCTGGTGGCGGTGGCGCTGGTGCTGTGCAACGCGGACCGCGTGATCATATCCGTCGCCATCCTGCCCCTCTCCGCATCCAACGGCTGGCCGCCCAGCGTCGCAGGCATCGTGCAGGTGAGGGGGACGGACATGAAAGAGAGAATGGGGGAAGGGTGAGAGGGGAAAGGAACGGGGGATTGGGGGGCCGCCGCTGCCCCTCTCCGCATCCAACGGCTGGCCGCCCAGCGTCGCAGGCATCGTGCAGGTGAGGGGGACGGGCATGAAAGAGAGAATGGGGGAAGGGTGAGAGGGGAAAGGAACGGGGGATTGGGGGGCCGCCGCTGCCCCTCTCCGCATCCAACGGCTGGCCGCCCAGCGTCGCAGGCATCGTGCAGGTGAGGGGGACGGGCATGAAAGAGAGAATGGGGGAAGGGTGAGAGGGGAAAGGAACGGGGGATTGGGGGGCCGCCGCTGCCCCTCTCCGCATCCAACGGCTGGCCGCCCAGCGTCGCAGGCATCGTGCAGGTGAGGGGGACGGGCATGAAAGAGAGAATGGGGGAAGGGTGAGAGGGGAAAGGAACGGGGGATTGGGGGGCCGCCGCTGCCCCTCTCCGCATCCAACGGCTGGCCGCCCAGCGTCGCAGGCATCGTGCAGGTGAGGGGGACGGGCATGAAAGAGAGAATGGGGGAAGGGTGAGAGGGGAAAGGAACGGGGGATTGGGGGGCCGCCGCTGCCCCTCTCCGCATCCAACGGCTGGCCGCCCAGCGTCGCAGGCATCGTGCAGGTGAGGGGGACGGGCATGAAAGAGAGAATGGGGGAAGGGTGAGAGGGGAAAGGAACGGGGGATTGGGGGGGCGCCGCTGCCCCTCTCCGCATCCAACGGCTGGCCGCCCAGCGTCGCAGGCATCGTGCAGGTGAGGGGGACGGGCATGAAAGAGAGAATGGGGGAAGGGTGAGAGGGGAAAGGAACGGGGGATTGGGGGGCCGCCGCTGCCCCTCTCCGCATCCAACGGCTGGCCGCCCAGCGTCGCAGGCATCGTGCAGGTGAGGGGGACGGGCATGAAAGAGAGAATGGGGGAAGGGTGAGAGGGGAAAGGAACGGGGGATTGGGGGGCCGCCGCTGCCCCTCTCCGCATCCAACGGCTGGCCGCCCAGCGTCGCAGGCATCGTGCAGGTGAGGGGGACGGGCATGAAAGAGAGAATGGGGGAAGGGTGAGAGGGGAAAGGAACGGGGGATTGGGGGGCCGCCGCTGCCCCTCTCCGCATCCAACGGCTGGCCGCCCAGCGTCGCAGGCATCGTGCAGGTGAGGGGGACGGGCATGAAAGAGAGAATGGGGGAAGGGTGAGAGGGGAAAGGAACGGGGGATTGGGGGGCCGCCGCTGCCCCTCTCCGCATCCAACGGCTGGCCGCCCAGCGTCGCAGGCATCGTGCAGGTGAGGGGGACGGGCATGAAAGAGAGAATGGGGGAAGGGTGAGAGGGGAAAGGAACGGGGGATTGGGGGGCCGCCGCTGCCCCTCTCCGCATCCAACGGCTGGCCGCCCAGCGTCGCAGGCATCGTGCAGGTGAGGGGGACGGGCATGAAAGAGAGAATGGGGGAAGGGTGAGAGGGGAAAGGAACGGGGGATTGGGGGGCCGCCGCTGCCCCTCTCCGCATCCAACGGCTGGCCGCCCAGCGTCGCAGGCATCGTGCAGGTGAGGGGGACGGGCATGAAAGAGAGAATGGGGGAAGGGTGAGAGGGGAAAGGAACGGGGGATTGGGGGGCCGCCGCTGCCCCTCTCCGCATCCAACGGCTGGCCGCCCAGCGTCGCAGGCATCGTGCAGGTGAGGGGGACGGGCATGAAAGAGAGAATGGGGGAAGGGTGAGAGGGGAAAGGAACGGGGGATTGGGGGGCCGCCGCTGCCCCTCTCCGCATCCAACGGCTGGCCGCCCAGCGTCGCAGGCATCGTGCAGGTGAGGGGGACGGGCATGAAAGAGAGAATGGGGGAAGGGTGAGAGGGGAAAGGAACGGGGGATTGGGGGGCCGCCGCTGCCCCTCTCCGCATCCAACGGCTGGCCGCCCAGCGTCGCAGGCATCGTGCAGGTGAGGGGGACGGGCATGAAAGAGAGAATGGGGGAAGGGTGAGAGGGGAAAGGAACGGGGGATTGGGGGGCCGCCGCTGCCCCTCTCCGCATCCAACGGCTGGCCGCCCAGCGTCGCAGGCATCGTGCAGGTGAGGGGGACGGGCATGAAAGAGAGAATGGGGGAAGGGTGAGAGGGGAAAGGAACGGGGGATTGGGGGGCCGCCGCTGCCCCTCTCCGCATCCAACGGCTGGCCGCCCAGCGTCGCAGGCATCGTGCAGGTGAGGGGGACGGGCATGAAAGAGAGAATGGGGGAAGGGTGAGAGGGGAAAGGAACGGGGGATTGGGGGGCCGCCGCTGCCCCCCTCCGCATCCAACGGCTGGCCGCCCAGCGTCGCAGGCATCGTGCAGGTGAGGGGGACGGGCATGAAAGAGAGAATGGGGGAAGGGTGAGAGGGGAAAGGAACGGGGGATTGGGGGGCCGCCGCTGCCCCTCTCCGCATCCAACGGCTGGCCGCCCAGCGTCGCAGGCATCGTGCAGGTGAGGGGGACGGGCATGAAAGAGAGAATGGGGGAAGGGTGAGAGGGGAAAGGAACGGGGGATTGGGGGGCCGCCGCTGCCCCTCTCCGCATCCAACGGCTGGCCGCCCAGCGTCGCAGGCATCGTGCAGGTGAGGGGGACGGGCATGAAAGAGAGAATGGGGGAAGGGTGAGAGGGGAAAGGAACGGGGGATTGGGGGGCCGCCGCTGCCCCTCTCCGCATCCAACGGCTGGCCGCCCAGCGTCGCAGGCATCGTGCAGGTGAGGGGGACGGGCATGAAAGAGAGAATGGGGGAAGGGTGAGAGGGGAAAGGAACGGGGGATTGGGGGGCCGCCGCTGCCCCTCTCCGCATCCAACGGCTGGCCGCCCAGTGTCGCAGGCATCGTGCAGGTGAGGGGGACGGGCATGAAAGAGAGAATGGGGGAAGGGTGAGAGGGGAAAGGAACGGGGGATTGGGGGGCCGCCGCTGCCCCTCTCCGCATCCAACGGCTGGCCGCCCAGCGTCGCAGGCATCGTGCAGGTGAGGGGGACGGGCATGAAAGAGAGAATGGGGGAAGGGTGAGAGGGGAAAGGAACGGGGGATTGGGGGGCCGCCGCTGCCCCTCTCCGCATCCAACGGCTGGCCGCCCAGCGTCGCAGGCATCGTGCAGGTGAGGGGGACGGGCATGAAAGAGAGAATGGGGGAAGGGTGAGAGGGGAAAGGAACGGGGGATTGGGGGGCCGCCGCTGCCCCTCTCCGCATCCAACGGCTGGCCGCCCAGCGTCGCAGGCATCGTGCAGGTGAGGGGGACGGGCATGAAAGAGAGAATGGGGGAAGGGTGAGAGGGGAAAGGAACGGGGGATTGGGGGGCCGCCGCTGCCCCTCTCCGCATCCAACGGCTGGCCGCCCAGCGTGGCGGGCATCGTGCAGGTGAGGGGGGAGGGGGATAGGAAAAGAGAGGCGGGAGAAGACGGGGTTTGGTTCAGTTGGTAGGGGCGTTGCTGGTGCCCCAGAATCGCTCTCTCCTTTTAATCGTTGGGGTCTTTGTAAGTTCACTCAAACTTCCCTCTTATGCCTCTCATTCCCCTCCCCTTTCCCTCCCCCAACCCTTCCAGTCCTCCTTCCTATGGGGCTATCTCATAACGCCCATCATCGGGGGGTCTCTCGCCGACCGTTACAGTGGCCGACCCGTGCTGGCAGCAGGGCTGGCGCTCTGGTCGCTAGCCACGCTGCTCACTCCCACTGCTGCAGCGCACTCCCTGGGTGCCCTCTTAACTGTGCGGGAGTCATGGGGCTGGGGGAGGGGGTCGCCCTTCCCTGCATGAACCACATGGTTTCACGGTACGTAAGCCAGTTTCCAGGCCTCGAGCTGTGCTGGCAGCAGGGCTGGCGTTGTGGTCGCTGGCTACTCTCTCACGCCCTCAGCTGCTGCGCACTCCCTGGGTGCTCTTGCTCATGGCCCTTCCTTCCCCCCCTATGCCCCCCCGTACCACTCCTCTGTACAGCTATGTGCCAGAAACAGGCGGGCATGGGCTGTGGGCATCTGCTTCGCGGGCTTCCACGTGGGCAGCATGCTAGGGCTGCTCTCCGCTCCTTCCCTCATGGCCCTGCCGGCTCTGGGTCTGACAGGCCCCTTCCTGCTCTTCGGCGCGCTGGGGCTGCTCTGGCTCGCGCTCTGGCTGCTCCTCGTTCCTGGGGATGCCTCTGGCGCCTCTGTTGCGCCCAGTGCCTCTGCTGCCTCTGCTGCCTCTGGTGCTGATATTGGCGGGCAGCTGGAAGGAAAGCAGAAGATGCAGGGTGGTGTTGGTGCAAGTGGATCGCGTGTCACGGTGTGGCAGCTGCTGTCACACCCGGCCTCATGGGCTATCATCATCGCCAATGCCGTCAATAACTGGGTGAGGACGCATGGGTTTGTTTGTCAACTGTCACCACCGCCCCATCACCATCACTGCCACCACTGTATGACGGTGTGGCAGCTGCTGTCGCACCCGGCTTCATGGGCCATCATCATCGCCAACACTGTCAATAACTGGGTAAGAGGGGAAACGCATGGGTCACTTGGACTGTATCACCACTGCCCGCCACCAACGCCACCGCCACCACAAGAACCACCAGCACCACCAGCACCACCACACAGTGTGGCAGCTGCTGTCGCACCCAAACTCATGGGCCATCATTATATGCCACCGCGAGCACCGTCAGTGCATAGGTCACTTTCAAAACCGTCGACTCAATACCAGCGGCAGCATCCACATCAACTCATCATCATCGTTGCTTCCCTTCTTCCCACCCCTTGCTTCCTCCTCCCCTCTTGACAGGGCTACTTCATTCTGCTCTCCTGGATGCCTCTCTACTTCAACCAGGTGGGCCATTCCTGAAAATGTTACCTTACCCCTATAAAAGCCGTGTGAACTGAGGCGATTTCTGGATGCCGTTGTACGTTATCCAGGTGGGTTTTTAGTTAGGGGCGGTTTTGTTGATTCTCAAGAAGGACCCTCCCCAGGGCTACTTCATTCTGCTCCCCTGGATGCCACTCTATGTCAACCAGGTGGGGCACTCTTGAACTTGAACGTTTCTAGTCCTCTGCTGGGCCACTCTCGCTCACCTTACATCTCCTCTCCCGCGCCGCTCGCTCTCACGCTCACTCTCTCACACTCACTCTCTCACACCCACTCTTCCACACGCCCCTTCTCACTCTCTCTCACATCTGCCCTCTCCCCACCAGGTGCTGCACACGGACATCCGCCAGGCAGCGTGATTCAGTGCGGGGCCATGGGCCGTGATGGCAGGCATGGTGCTACTCGCAGCACAGCTGGCAGGCTGTTCCACACTCTCTTTCACGTGTTCTTTGCCACGACTTTTGAGGCACCTCGAAAGAAGCTTTCACATGTGTCTTTGCCACGTACTCGTCCCTGACTCGCCTCCCCTCCACCCACCAGGTGCTGCACACGGACATCCGCCAGGCAGCGTGGTTCAGTGCGGGGCCATGGGCAGTCATGGCAGGCATCGGGCTGCTCGCAGCAGAGCTGGCGAACCGGATGGAGGGCAGGCAGGGAATGACCCGCACCGCCGTGCGCCAAGTCATGCAGGTGAGTGAGGGTTCCTGAGGCGCCTCAAGTGATGTCGCATCTCACATGGAAGGCACGCAGGGCAAGTCTACCTCTGAGGCACCTAAAAAATAGTTTGGCAGGGCATGACCCTCACCGCCGTGCGCCAAGTCATGCAGGTAGGGTTGAGGGTGACATCTCGTGAACTTGGAAAAGAAAAAAGACTAAAACCTCCATACCCCAGCTGTTGCTCCACTTATTCACCCCACACATCGCCCTGCTCTCGTCTCCATGCCTTCCCTTCTTCTCCCTCAGTCCGACTGGTTTCTGGGTCCGGCTGCGTCGTTGCTGCTGCTCACCTGCATGAACTCTGCCACCCTCTCCCTCACTGCTGCTCTTTACAAAATCTCCCATCTGCCACCTTGATCTCATCTCCACTCCACTTCTCCCCACCATCTCCCATCAGGCTGCCGGGTTCCTGGCTCCAGCTGCGTCGCTGCTGCTGCTCACACGCATGGCCACCGGTCCCCTCGCTGCTCTCTCCCTCACTGCTGCTCTTTTAGTGAATCTCTGATCTGACACCCTGCTCTCTTCCCCACCTCCTCCCCACCGTTTCCCCTCAGACTGCCGGGTTCCTGGGACCAGCTGCATCGCTGCTGCTGCTCACGCGCATGACCACCGCCCCCCTCGCCGCCCTCTGCCTCACTGCTGCTCTCGGCCTCAGTGCGTTCAGCCAAGCCGGGTGGCTCCTGAACCACAAGGTGCGCTCTCTGCAACCCCCCTCTCCACAAGGTGCGCTCTCTGCAATCCCCCTCTCCACCCCTTGCTCTCTCCATCGCTTGTTCTCTCACTCTTCCTCACTGCTGCTCTCGGCCTGATTGCGTTCAGCCAAGCCACAAGGTGGCGCGCTTAGCAACTCTCGTGCTCTCTCTCCACCACTCCCCCTCCCCCCCTCTCTCTCTCTCTCCCACTCACTCACCCTCTGTGTCGCTCCGCAGTAGGCTCTGAGATCTTCAGCCATTCAAACCTCTTTTGAGGCGCCTCAAAAGAGATCTTCAGCCGTGCAAACCTCTTGCTAAAAGTGCTATTTTGAGACGTCTCAGAATATCACCTCACCCACCCTCTGTGTTGCTCCGCAGTAGGCTCTGAGATCTTCAGCCGTGCAAAGTTCATGCTTGCTCAATCACAACACAAGTGCCCTGCACACCTGTAACCTTCTTCATTCCCAATAATCTGTTTCTTTTCTGCCTCTCACACTCCACCCCTCACAAACTTTGCCGTTCAACCCACCTACCTACCCACCTACCTACCTACCTTTTTCTAACCCCCATCTCCCCTACACCTCTCCCATGCTCCAAACCGTCTCCTCCGACCTCCTCTCAACAGGACATAGCACCGCGCCACGTGGGTCTTCTGCATGGTGAGTTGCTGTGAGCTGCTGTGGTTTTGGAGAGTTTTCAAAAGCTGTCATGCGTCTACTTTTGTGGCGCCTCAAAAGTGGACATAGCACCGCGCCACGTGGGTCTTCTGCATGGTGAGTCGCTCTGCCTGAATATGCCTTGCTCGTTTCTGCTCATTGCTTGACGTGTGCTGCATCGACCAAGGTGAAAACGCTGTATCTCCAGTGAATCACACCTCAACAATGAGGTGTATTTTGAGGCACCTCAAAATGTATATCCAGTGAATCACACCTCAACAATGTGTTGTGCTGCAGCAGTTACTGAAGCGCCTCACGATCATGACCCTTCTATGACTTTCTCCTCAACAATGTGCTTCAGCGAATGCTCTGTCTGCCTCCTGTCCCCCTCCTCATCCCCTTACCTCTTCGCTTCCCCACCACCCACCAGGTCTGTCCAACACAGCGGGCACGCTAGCGGGCATCACCAGCACAGTGGCAACTGGGTTCATGCTGGGTCGAATAGTCACCACCACTCTTGCTCCTCCTCCCCCCCAACCCCACCACCCACCAGGTCTATCCAACACAGCGGGCACACTAGCAGGAATAACAAGCACGGTGGCGACGGGTTTCATGGTGGAGCAGTTGGGCTCCTTCCATGCAGTGCTGACAGTCACAGCAGCGCTCTACGTGCTTGCCACAGCCTTCTGGCTCGCATACGCCACTGCCGATGTTGTATTCCCATAAGGGCTTCCTTTTGAGGAATTACTGGGTGATGGCACTGACGCTTCCATGCAGTGCTGGCCGTCGCAGCAGCTCTCTACGTGCTTGCCACGGCTTTCTGGCTCGCACACGCCACAGCTGACGTCGTCTTTCCATGAGGGCTTCTTCTTCAGTACCTTTGAAACCCTTCCATTGAAGTCGTTCCCATGAAAGCTGGGTATTGGCTCGTTTCCATGCGGTGTGACTGTCACGGCACTGACTCTACGTGCTCGCCACGGCCTTCTGGCTCGCATACGCCACAGCTGATGTCGTCTTCCCATAAGGGATTTTGTTTCCAGTACTGGTACCTTAGAAACCCTTCCATTGAGATCATTCCCGTGAAAGTTAGGTCACCGATTGTCTGATGCAGTGCCAGCTGTTGCAACAGCGCTCTACATTATTGTCACAGTGTTCTGGCTCTTGAGTTGACTCAAAAGTCACCTTGCAGCAGCGCTCTACATGATCGACACGGCCTTCTGGCCTGCATATGCCACGGCTGACGTGGTCTTTCTGTGAAGGCCTTCTCTCCAAGGCCTCTGCTTGAAAAGCTTTGCATTGGATGACTCGTGGTGGGCTTTTTCCTTCCACGCTGCAGTAGTTTTTCTTGAAGCGCCTCTTTAGCCATTCAAGGGCTTACCGTAACAGTAACTCCGGCGTGTTATGGCTGTGCTGTGCTGGGCTGGGCTGGGCCAGTCTCCTTCCTGCCGCACTAAGGTACTAGTTCATTAGAGAAGAGCACCATGTGCTTGCAAGGGCCTTGTGGCTCGCATCCACTGTAACCAGGGCCCAGATTTCAAGGGTATTTTACCCTTTTTGCCCTGCTCATAGGCCACTTTTTGGCAGTTACCCTTTTTAAATCAGGGTATGCAGATTTTTACCCTAGTGCAATCAGAATACGCTTAAAAGTACTCTTGTAGCTTTTCCAGTTACACTGACTGTATCAGGGTAGGGGTTCAACTACCCTTTTACCGGAACTTTTCCGTACCGCGGATTCCGCCACAGTCCGCGCCACGACGAAATGCTCCACGGTCCCACTGGACCTTTGTTGGATACACCCACTGGCGCGCCAACGTACATTCAGGGCGGATGGCACCGCACACCTACGATTGGTCCGTTGAGCGACATTGAAGCCAACGCACCCAGTTTCCGTGCGTCACGCAACATCGCGCACTGCCAACGGAGGCAAATTGCGCGCCAGGTGGGGTACGTGCTGTCGTTTCCACCACCTGGCAGTCAATGTGGCCTTGCAGCCATTGCCGTGCAGTTCCCTACCAGCGAGGGAACCTTGCTGCCTGAGGCGCCTTGGGCTTTGTGATTCCCGAGGGGTCTCTCAGGCTCTTGCCATTCTCTCGTTTCCCTCTCGTTTGTTGTTCCGAATGCCTGCCTCTGAGCCTGATCCGCCTGGTAGCACCAGGAACGGTCTCTCCGTTCTCGGTGTGTTACCTCGGCTGGCTGAGAACTATAGCGTCCCTATCTCTCAGCCTGCGCGTGAGCCATCCCCTGAATTTCTTGTCGGCACCGTTTTCCCGTGCGAGCGTTCGGCCTCGCCAAAGTCCCGGGAGCCACACCCGTCTCTCGAGCTTGTTCCCGATGGCGGCGAAGGCCCGTCGAAGCCGGCCACTGCAGCCCCGTCCACAATTAGCTCCGCGCCCGCGAAGCGACAGCGTGTGGGCGTGACATACAAGCAGCAGAGGCTCTGGGGCGCCCCTCCTCCACGACAAGAGGCATCACCGCCACGCCGTGCTGCTCCTGCTCAGCCGAAGCCTCCAACCGCTTCTGCAGAGGCTGAGTATGAGTTGGTAAAAACGACTTTCGATTCGCAATGGTCAAAGAAATTCAGTTGGCTGCGCTTAATGCGCATGACTAACGGCAGGCCGTCATTGAAATGTGCCATCTGCATCAAGCACGGGGATCCAAACGCGCACACTGCCTACGGCGTCAGAGGTGAGGGTGCCCGAGACATGCAGCTAGGGAGCATCCGCGCGCACACATCAAGCAGAGCCCACAAGCAGGCCTTGGAAAACGAGGCCAAAGCAGACGCGGAAAAGGCGAAGCAAGCCACACTAACAAGGTGGCAGAGCACTGATGCAGCTACACGGCACATCATCCGCTGCCTCCACCTCGCGCTCTTCATCTGCAAGGCTGACGCGCCAGTAGCAATGTTTGTTCCTTTGTGCTGGTTTCTGGCTAAGGAAGGACTGCCGGACCTTCCACCGTCTGGAGGGTACGGCGCCTACTACACCGAGTAAGTGCGGGTTCGTGGCGCTTGTGTTTGTTCCGTGACTCAAGCTGACCAGATGCTACTGCAACTTGTGTTCGTGTACCATGTGTGTTGTCCTCGCAGTTACGGATTCAAAGAGATGCTGCGCGCAACCTCCACTTACCTTCAAGAGACTCAACGCGGCCACCTTCTGGAATCCCCATATATAGGGATTCTTCTGGATGAGAGCACCGACCGGGTGAATGGCAAGCACCTGATACTGTATGCGACATTCTTCAAAGGGGTAACTCCGGTAACGGAGTTTTTAACTCTCATTACCGTGGACCGTGCCGATGCGGCCTCGCTAACCTCCGCTGTTGTGCAGTACCTTACAGGAATCGGGGTGGATCTCCAGAGGATTTCTGGAATATCTACGGACGGGGCGAGTGTGATGACCGGCAAGAACAACGGTCTAGTCGCGAGGCTGCGACTGCGCATACCACACCTGGCTTCAACTCACTGCATCGCTCACAGGTACGCATGTTGGATTCTGAGTTTTTTCCAGCACAGGATCAGTGACGCGCAAACCGTACTAACATGCTCCAGTTGAATGCGCAGGGAGGCATTGGCAGCTAAGGATGCGGCGGAGGCAGTCCCCGAGCTCGGCATGGTGGACGACGTGGTGCGTGCCTTCTCCGAGCACATCGGCCGCAGCAGCGTGGACTACACCAAGTTTCAGAATCTCCAGCGCGTCTACTGCCAGACGAATCTGGAGGCGCAGGGCATAAACGACGTGCGCTGGCTCTCCCGTGGCGAGGCGATCCAGCGGTTCCTTGACGTTCTGCCTGCCGCCATTGTCGTGCTGAAGGACTACAAGAAGGACTTGTACGAGGTAGTCACCTCGTTCAAGTTCCACTGGCTCATCCGCTTCCTCGCGGATGTGCTCTGGGAGCTCAACCAGCTCAATCTGCGCTTTCAGCAACGTCAGGTAACCAACTGACAAGCACAGTTGTACTTACACGTACGCCTACAATGCTCTTTCTGACCGCATGTCTTATGTGTGTGCAGGTGGACGTCACCCTCGTGGCGCACCTTGTACAACAGACGCGGATGCGCCTGAAGACGCGCTACTTCGACAGGTCCCCTGGTCACTTTTTTGGCAGCGGAGAGAAGATGCAGCTGCCTGACTTCATCAAGGCTCACCAGAAGATGGATAAGCGACAGATGAAAGCGGAAGGCGTGGACGCGGACGGCAACGCCGTCTCCTTCGAATTCACCCTGCACGAACGCCCCCTGCCAGGCCATGAGACAGACGGTGATGTAACCGCGTGCTTCGAGCTTTCGCTCAAGTTCATCCGCAAAGTGGACGCGGAGCTGGAGTGGCGCATGCGCGACCTCAACCTCCTCGAAGGCGCCAAGCTGTTTCGTACGGCGTCGTATGTGGCCGACGACACCCAGCGGCTGGAGTCCTTCAGGAAGTGGCTTGGCCAGCTCCACAAGCTGTACAACCACAAGCTGCCTGGTAAGCGTGTTTGTTAGATGGGGCGGGTATTAGTGATTGACTTGCGTAAACAGCTTTGCACCAGCTTGTTTCCCATCGCGCTTGTTGCTACTCATCACCCGGCCCTGTATTGTGGACTAATGCCTCCCAATCCTACCCGTATGTATGAGCGTCTGCCAATGATCATCCCCTTCCGCACTACCAGGGTTCGACTACAAGCGTGCCGGCCAGGAGCTCTGGATGTTTACCTCGACCATGTTCTCCCAGCACAACGGCGAGGAGTTTCATCAGGCGCTGGGGAACATGCCGCGCGACGAGGCGTGGCGTGCGTCGTTCCCCAACATCGTCCGGATGTGGCAGTCTGTCGCCGTGCTACCACTGAGCACGGTTGAATGTGAGCGCGGCTTCAGCAAGCAGAACCTGATCAAGACGTGGGACCGCGGCAGCCTCGGCGACACAAGCCTTGAGCACCTGATGCGGTGCTCCCTCCTGCAGTACGACATTGACTGGTATGAGGTGGTCGCCATATTCCGCGGGGAGAAGCTCAGGCGATCCACCAAAGACTTCTCCGGCATGAAGGCCAGCAGCACTAAGCAGTTTGCAGACGAGGCAGTTGCTAGTGCAGCAGATGTTGATTGACTAGTGTCTTCTGTAGGGCCCTTTATTTAACTTGGTTGGTAGTAAAGCTTGTAGGTGCAGTGCATAACACTTTAGTGATAACTAAGTAATTGTTGTAGTAGTACAATCTTATGCTTAGGAAGGAAACAGTGTACGACATATATTATCCTGCCAAAATCAGTGTACCAAAACTTTTAGGCTGCTACAATCAGTGTACGAGAAACTTTACCCTACCAGTCAGGGTACGGAGGGGATGCCACCCTGATTTGAAAGAGTGAGCTAAAACCTATTTTGGGCCCTGACTGTAACACTGGATTAATCTCATTATCTTTCAAAAGCTGCTTGCTTGTACAGTAACAGAGCTACTGTATGCCGAGGTGACTTTCGAGCCAAATAATAATAACAATAAAACCTTATGCATTGCATTTCCATTTGCCGAGGCTAACGCGCCCATTTCTTTCATCTAGAAACGGCCCATTCATTGCAGACGGTGTACTGCACCAGTCTAGTCACAAGGGCTCTGCAAAATCAGCAAGTGCAGCAGTTCACCTTCTCAGTTTTGAAACGTCTCAAAACTAAATCAGCTAGTGCAGCAGTTAAACTTCTCAGTTTTGAGACGTCTCAAAACTAAATCAGCAAGTGCAGCAGTTCACCTTCTCAGATGTGTAAGGAAGCACAGATTCCATAATTATCACAGTACACAAATAATTTACAAGTACCTACGCAAGAAACAGATGGGTGGAGAACCAGCGTGATAGTAACAGGACCCATTTTCATCAGCCCGTGGCCAGGCCATGGCTGGCCCACAGCAGCCTAGGTCATGTCCTGGTTTCCCAGCAGGTCAGATTGTCAGACAGTCAGGCCGTCAGTGCTGGCTCCTGAGGCAGCGTTCCCACCCGTTTTTGACTCGACTCGAGAAAGCTGCCTCCCAAAGAAGGCTGCACGAGCGCGTGCGGTTATGTCAGTTGCCATACGGTGGGGAACGACACGCGGGGGAACTCAGCCTGCAGTCGGGCGATGGCCTGCTGGAAGTCCTTGTCTCCCAACAAGTCGGTGTCCGGCTCCTGAGGCACCGTGACCATGGTCTGTATGTAGCATGCGCTTCCAAGGCTGCTGCATGTTGCCTTATGGTATACCACCATTGGCCTGAGCGTGTGCAGTCAGGTCAGTTGCCAGATAGACGGGAAGGAGACACGGGGGAACTCAGCCTGCAGTCGGGCGATGGCCTGGCGGAAGTCCTTGTCTCCCAGCAGGTCGGTCCCCGGCTCCTGTGGCACGGTGACCATGGGCTGTATGCACCGCAGGCGGGGGCTGCCCCTCAGGAGCGCGGTGAGGAAGGCGATGACTGCCATGGCGTGATCATGATACTCCACGTGAAATTCTTCTAGGCTGGGCGCCTGGAGTGTGGGGGGGGGGGAACGGGGACGCGGTAGAGTGCGGTGGTGGCTGTGAGGAATGAGATGACCGCCATGGCGTGATCGTGGTACTCCACGTGGAACTCCTCTAGGCTGGGCGCCTGGGGGATGGGGAATGGGGAATGGGGAAGGTTGGAAGGAAGGGGTAACTGGGAGTTGAGAGCGGTCTCACTGTTACTGCCATGGCGTGGTTGTGGAATTCTTCCAGGCTGGGGGCCTGGGGTGGGGTTGGGGGCAGGAGGAAGGGGGGACTAGGGATGTGTTCACAAGCCTGCCTGGGAGGAGTAAGGCGGTGAGGAAGGCGATGACTGCCATGGCATGGTCGTGATACTCCACGTGAAATTCTTCCAGACTGGGTGCCTGGAGAGTCGGGGGGGGTGGGAGAGGGTGAGTTTACGGGGTGTGCTCACAAGCGTGGCAATCACGACGAATGGAGACGGAGGGGCGGATCAGCTGAAAGTGCAGCAATGGGTGCACAATGTACCTGGCCCTGGCATCACTGCCCATTGCCACTCTGGTATGCATACTCATACCCTCATGACCTTTGTGTCGCTCACTGTGGCAATCACAACGTAGTTAATGGAGCGGCAAAGCAGCAGGAAGCGACATCCACGGCCACCGCAAGGAGCGGGATTTGAGGCTAAGGCAGCAGGCGGATGGACACTCACCCGAATGACTATAGTGTTCCCCAGCATGGCACACACGTACCCTGATGACTTTTGTATCCCCTAGCATGGCGATCATAACGTAGTAGACGGAGGAGCAGAGCAGCAGGAAGCGCAGCGAGGGCAGCGAGGAGAAGAAGGCCGATGCAGTATCGATGGAGGCCGCTGTGAGCGGGTCGATGTAGCACGTGAGGGACAGCTCCTCCAGGGAGAGCGCACAGAGATCAAGGATGGCTCGCACTGTGCCCCAACTCCAGTCGTCGCCTGTCAACTGGAACACGGAAAGGAAGAGGGGGGGAAGGGAGGTGTGGATGGAGGCGGCAGTGAGCGGGTCGATGTAGCACGTCAGGGAGAGCTATTCCAAGGAAAGAGCGCAGAGATCGAGAATGGCTCGCACCGTGCCCCAGCTCCAGTCATCCCCCGTTAGCTGGTGGAAGGGAGAGGGAGAGGGGAAGCAGATAGGAGCAAGGGGAGGGGGGGTCAAAGGAGGCGGCAGTGAGTGGGTCTATGTAGCACGTGAGGGACAGCTCCTCGAGAGAGAGCGCAGAGATCTAAGATGGCTCGCACTGTGCCCCAACTCCAGTCATCGCCTGTCAGCTGGAGATAGGGAGACGGAGAGCAACGGGAGCAAGCAGGAGCAACATGAGGTGTCGATGGAAGCGGCTGTGAGCAGGTCAATGAAGCACGAGAGCAACGGCTCCTTGTGACAGAGCGCAGAGATCTAAGATGGCTCGCACCATGCCCCAACTCCAGTCGCCACCTGTCAGCTGCGAGAAAGGTAGAGGGGGAGGGGAGGGGTCGATGTATGTAGCACGTCAGGGAGAGTGTCTCCAGGGAGATACCACAGTGATTGAGAAACCTTGGCACTTTATTCTTGAACCTCCAGGCTTGAACTTGACCGTACCTTGAGCTCGGTGAGTTGACTAAAGGCGTCAGGGTTGGCGTGGAACTGGAAGCCAGCAGCGAGCTCCAGAGACATGCGCCTCAGCCGCCCCGACTCGATGCGAATGTCGCCCCACAGCTCGTGCTCCAACCGCCCCTCCGGTGCCCAGTCCACCTCCAACTCTAGATCCTGAGAGTGGCAGAAAAAACAAGAGGCAGAATGAGGAAGGGGCCAGAGGAGACACGTCAGAACAAGCTGCTCCTCTCTCGCGCCCAGTCCACCTCTAGCTCTAGGTGCTGAGAGTAGCAACAACAAGAGGCAGTAGCATGGAGAGGAGGAACGAAAGGAGGAAAGAGGATGGACGAGGTGGTTCAGAACAAGCCACCCCGACTCGATGCGGACGTCGCCCCACAGCTCGTGCTCCAGCCGCCCCTCCGGCGCCCAGTCCACCTCCATCTCCAAGTCCTGGCAGTAGGCAACAGGGGTGGTGAGAAGGGATGGGGTTCAGGGTCTAGGCCCTAGGGTTCAGTATACTGGTTCAGGAAATAGGGTTCAAAAGTTTGGGTTTAAGATATAGGATTCAGGAATTAAGGTTCAGGATTAAGGGTTGAGGAAGTACACGGCCATACCTCAAGGTTGGGCGCATTCAGGCGAAGCAGCTCCAGGAAGGCGTCCTTCCTGGCGGCACGGTTGCTGAGCCGCAGTTCAAACCTCCTCAGCTCCGCACACGGTGCGTGCATGAGGTCAAGCGGGCCGATCCCCCAGCACAGCAGCACATGGGGCGCAGGTTATAGGGTTCAGAATCTATGGTACAGGGCCTAAGTTCCACACCCTCGAGTCCAGGATCTAGGGTTCAGAGCATGGCAAACCCCAGCTGCACCATACCTCGAGGTTGGGAGCATTCAGCCGGAGCAGCTCCAAGCAGGCGTCCTTCCTGGCAGCGCGGTTACTCAATCTGACTTCAAACCTCTTCAGCGCAGCACACGGCGCATGCATCAAGTCAAGCGGGCCGATCCCCGAGCACAGCAGCAGCGTCAGCTCCTGCAACTGCGGGCAGCACGCCAACAAATCCCCCACCATGTCCCCCGCTACCACGGCCTTGGCGAGGGTTAAGTGGAGGAGTGAGGCGAAGGGCGAGCAGAGGTGGAGCGTGGAGACGCAGTCGAAGACGGCGTTCTCGAGGTAGAGTTGGCGCAGGTTGCGGCAGCGTGATGCATGCTCCAGCTTCCACTCCTGCGGCTGCTCCTCCACCTCCTCTTCCTCCTCCTCGGCTGCCGACGCCTGCTCGTTTGCACGGTAGAAGTTGGTGTGGTAGGGTGATGGGAGTGTGGCAGCAGTGACAGCAGCAGCACCACCACCACTCCTGCCACCACCACCACCGCCGCCGCCCCCGCCGTTGCTGTCGCTGTCGCTGCTGTCTCGATCAGTATTTTCCCCGTTTTCAATGCCATGGCTCTGTCCTTCACTCTCTCTTTGCCTCAACCCAACACCACCAGCAGCAGCAGCGTTACCAGTGGTGGTGTTGTTGGCACTAGCAGCAGTGCCGTTTCTAGCTGCTTCAGGAGCTGCTGCTGCAGAGAGAGCAGCAGGGGCGGCAGCAGCAGCCATGGCAGCAGCGAGGGCCTGTGCGCGCCGTGTGGAGGCATCTGCTGTGCCGTCAACGAGAGTGAGCTCCTCGAGAGAGTCACGGCATGCCAGACACCACGTCATCACCGCTAGCTCCTGGAGGGAGGGGAGAAGGCGGAAAAGGAAGGGAGGCAGAGGAGGGTTGGGTGGGAAGGATGGACGGAAGCCTGGAAAGAGCAGTGGGAAGCAGCCACGGCATGTCGGTACGGCAGTGCCCTACAGCGATGGCAGCAGCAAGCGCCTGGGCGCGGCGTGTGGCGGCGTCTGCTGTGCCGTCAACAAGAGTGAGCTCCTCGAGAGTGCTGCGGCATGCCAGACACCACGTCATCACTGCTAGGTCCTGACGGTCAGGGGAGAGGGGCGGTGGGGGACGGTGGGAGACGGTGGGTGAAAAGTGGAGGAAAAGAGGGGGAAACGGTGGGGGAGGGTTCGATAGAGTGTCGCGACACGAGGCACCACGTCATCACAGCTAGTTTCTGCCAGGGAAAGTTACGGATGGTGGGGAGAAGGTGGGGGAAAGGAGGTGGGGTAAGGAGTACTCAAGGTGGGGGGTATGGAGGGGTAAGGAAGGGTAAAAGGGGTAAGGAAGGAGGGCCTATTGAACATGTTTAGCTAAAGATTGCTCACTTGGAAGGGGTCAGAGGCAGGCGGAGCTTCAACGTAGAGCGAGGTGACGGCGGCCGTGGCCTGCAGCAGCGCCTGTGTGATGCCCCTCTCCGCTGCTTCCCTGTGGGGGAAATCTTCCCCCAGAAACACCAGCGCTCCGCCCACCCGCACCACACGCTGGCGGGCGGGGGGTGAGGAGGTGGAGAACACGGGAATGGTATAGGGGAAGGGGTGGAGGGGAATACATGCAGCAGCGCCTGTGTGATGCCCCTCTCCGCCGCCTCGCGGTGGGGGAAATCCTCCGCCAGAAACACCAGCGCCCCGCCCACCCTCACGACGCGCTGAGGGAGGGAAAAGAAGAGAAGGGGGAGGGGAGAAGGGGAATGGGGGTAGGGGGAAGCGGGAAGAGAATGCAGGAATGGAGCTAAGGGTGTGGCTTGTTGGCGCCTATGGGTCGTGGCACACAGAGATCACCGCGTCTGCTGCCTCCCGGTGAGAGGGGTTCTCCGCCAGATGCACCAGCGCCCCGCCCACCCGCACACGCGCGGGGAGTTGAGGAGGGGGAGGAGGGGTGGGGGGGTCCATGGGAAGGGGTGAGTGTGAGAAGCGAAGGGGGAAGGGGCAAAGGGGACTAAAGCCCCTGTGGCTGTCGATGGTGAACCACTGGTGGACACAGTGGCACTCATGAATGCTCCCATCCGGAGATACTGTCGTGTCATGGCTAGTGCTTCTACTTTTAGTTTTGTCAAAAGATATGGCTGCGCTCACCCGGAGGTACGAACAGGTGGAGCGGAAGGCGACGAGGCTCTTGGCGTGCACGATGAACGACGCGATCTTGCCGCACAGGTTGTCGGGCAGCACCGAGAAGTACCCGCTCCCCCTCCACGCGCGCGCTGCTGTACCGCGCGAGTCGGACGAGCTCCGAACGGCGCTTCTCCTTAACTCAAAAGCCATTTCACGCGCGCACGGCTGATGCGCGACGTCGAAACCCGCGCACTCTGCTTCTGCGCGCTCCGCTCCCGCAGAGTCTGACTCCCCGGAGTCCGCCCCCGCGGAATTTGTTCCCGCGGAGTCCTCACCCGAACACGGCGGAGCGCTTCGCATCAAGGTGCGGTCAGGAGAAGCGGCGGCATCGTCGCGAGGAGAACCCTTGACACCAACAGCGTCAGCACCGTCGTTTACCAGAGCGTGGTTTAAAGGAGCGTCGTCTATACCGCCGTCGAACGGCTGCGATCTATCCGCGACCGGGTGTGCCTGGCCTCGGCGGTAGATTAAGGGAGGTTGCAAATCATCGAGCCGTTCGCGTCCGGGATAATGGTGATTATGATCAGCTGTCGATGGATGCGCCGCGTCGCCTCCGTCATCCGTAACCCGATCGCGAAAAGCAGCGGCGACCACGTCATCAGTAACCCCATCATGAAATGCAGCGGCTCCCAGACAAGACCCCGTATTCCTAGGGACAATGCCCGTGGTAGCTCCCGATTCAGATCCTCCTGGAATATAATTAGGATCTTCTGGCGGAGGGTCTAAGTTTAAGTCCATGAATGAAAGCGAACGAGCGGTTACTATCGAGTCGTTCACGTCCGCACCGCAGTTCGCAATACCATGGAATGAAGGTATCGTGTGGGATGCCACGGCTTGTACAACGTTCCCCGCCCAAGAGTTGAAAGAAAGCAAGAACCGATATTTTTGGCTATGGTGGTCGAGATGGCCTACACTACACGCATCGAGCTGTGACTATGGAGGGACGAGAAGACATTACGCTGCGGTAAAACACACGTGTGATGGAAGTGCTTGGAGCATGCAGATTTCACACGGTTTAGAACGGTTGACTGAGGTTCTTTGTGAACAGAACTGCTTTTGGAGGGGAATAGAAAGTTTCACTTGGTCCACTGGGGCCGCTTGTCTCTGTCCGATTTCAGGGAATCCACAGTGCAGATTCCGCTGCAGTAGGCGATGGCGTGGCGGCGCCCAGTAGTTCGTTGTGCACGTGTGGCCCACGTGAGCAGCATCAGTGAAAGTGGCGAAACGAAAGGGACGTGAGGGTGAAGTGAAGTGAATGAACGCGAAACGCGCCGTTTTAGAAGGATGATCCGCTATCACAACCGAACGCGAACGGTCTGGTTGCTGCTTTACCAAATGATTGTTTCTTGTTAATTGGACATAATGCTGTAGAAGTGAGATACCAACGTTACAATCCTGTCTTTGCGCCCCCTTCATATGCATATCTACTTTACATATTTGTAGGCCTCCATAATATATGCCAGGGTGAGTGAAGAGGCAAGGCAACTGAACATGGATAAATTTCCTAAGCATGGAGTGATATCTCATGACAAATCACCCGTATCAATCTTCTTGATAATCTCAAACTTGTTCTTTAGTTTCCAGTTGCCGCCATTAGCAGCCATCACCACCAACGCTATCACCTGCGATTTCGTGTATTCCTGCAGTACAGGGATAGTCAGATGCAGCACTACGGTCAATTGATAAGCACGGCGGGAAACTATCCTTGACAATGTCACAAATATATCACAGTACGCCTAAAAAACACAATTCATCGTAAGAACAGTACGTGGAGAAGCTATGATGATGATGAATCTACGATGAGACGGGCAGTGGGCAGGGCAGGGGACTCACCGGATGTGCTCGCACCCAGTCAATAATCTGGCTCTCGCTCAAGTAGAATGCCTGCACACACACCCACAACCACTCGATGCACGCTTGGTCTGAGACGAAAGAGAGTGAACAGAAACGTTTTCTTTCCAAGAAACAAATGCCAACGCTGGGAAACACCCATTTTTCCATCACAGCATTCATCGTCCACACAGCAAGCAGCCAGCAGCGTGGGCATGGCGAGCGGGGCACGCGGGGTGGACAAAGCGAGCAGGGGGAGCAGGGCGAACGGGGCAAGCGGGGCGAGCAGGACAAGCGGCGAGCAGGGCAAGTGGGGCGAGCAGGGAAAGCGAGGCGAGCAGGGCGAGCAGAGAGCACATACCTTGATGTAGTTGTCGACTAGTTGCAGCCCCTTGACTGCCCCCCGCCCCACTATGGGCTGCAGCCCCTGCACCAGCACCTGAGGCAATGGTAAGGGCATGGAACATGGGAGGGGAACAGGAGGGGTTGAATGAAGCCGAAGTAGTTGGGCAAAGTGGGAACAGGAGGAGAGTGATGATGCAGGCATGGCGAAAATGGATGGAATGATTCTTCCGGACATGAAGCTGAAGCGAGATAAAAAACATATCCAAAGGTGAAGCAACCCAAAAATATTACCTGAAGGTCAAGGGACATGAGGGCGCGGCCATTGCTGTTGCACTTCTTGACCCGGCAGATGCCATCGAGCATGACATCACAGAGCTCGTCCAGGCCGTATGCCACCAGCTGGTCCTGCACCTGCATGCATGCATACATTCATGGATGGACAAGTGCCCATGCATGCATGGGGGTTACAGGTGAGTGCTTCACGACTAGGAAAATTCCTTCAGCAGATGCCGTCGAGCATGACATCACAGAGCTCGTCCAGGCCATAAGCGACGAGCTGGTCCTGCACCTGCAGACATGCATGCATGTGCAAGTGCATCGGGTTACAGGTGAGCGGCATCACAGAGCTCGTCCAGGCCGTATGCCACCAGCTGGTCTTGCACCTGCAGACATGCATGCATCCATGGGATAAAAGGCAACGAATTGTTTGAGAATCACTTCACATGACAGAGCTCGTCCGTACCATAGGCCGCCAGCTGGTGCTGCACCTGCCAGCATGCATGCATGACAAAGTATCAAGCAGTGGATGCATGGTTGCGTGGACAGGACACATGTAGCACCACACATTGCAAAGAGTAAGAATGAGGTTTGGGTGAGAAGAGTGTGGACACTAACCTGAGAGAGGGCACGAGGGGCGTCTGACTGACTGACCTGTCGAGGTGCTCCTGACTGCCCCAGGCGGTGGGCGAAGAGGCGGAACTCTGCCACCAGATTCTCCACATAGCTGATTGGTCACAGGGAGGGAGGATGGCAGGAGATGGCATTGATGATGACAATGGTTAGTGATAAGCAGGTGCGCATGAATTCGTAATGAAAGAACAAACATGGAAACGAGGATGAATCCTAAAAAGCCTGCCCCTGCGCCTCACATGGTATGCTGTGTGCCGATCTCTGCCGGCTCCCAGTTGACAGACAGCAGCAAAGCGGTCCGCCGTGCCCGCTATGCTGACTTCTGAGTCGACTCAAAAGTTATCCCGCTACATCTCACATGTGGATTGCAATGCAAACAGACCCCTGCGCCTTACATGTTGTGCTGTGTGCCGATCTCTGCCGGCTCCCAGTTGACAGCAGCGATACGGTCCGCCATGCCTACGATGTTGAGAAGCAGCTTCACGAGCGTGCGCAGCACATGCTCCCACAGGTCTGGTACTGCGTCCAGCTGAGGACAAGGGGGAGGGGGAGGAGAGGGACGAACGGGTTGAGGGGGGGGTTGATTTTGAGAAGAACGGGTGGTGTGGTCAACGAGATTTTGAGTGGCAGCTTCTCGAGCGTGTGCAGCATAGTGCAACCACAGGTCTGGTGCTGCGTCCAGCTGAGGGGGAGGGAACAGGGGAGGGAACCGGGGAGGGAAACGGAGGAGGGGTGAATGAGGAGTACGGGGGGGGGGAGTTGATAATGGACACTTCACCAGCACATGCAGCAGCATGCAGAAAGAAAGCCAGAACGACCTACAAACAAACAGACAAACGGGCAGACAGACGGGCAGACGGACGGGCAGAGAGACGGGCAGACAAGCGAGCAGACAGAGGAGCAGACAAGCGAGATGGTGGAGCACCCACCGTGCGGGCGTAGAAGACGTCCATGGCAGTCCAGGCGGGCGGGGCGAGCAGCGATTGGAAGCGCGGCTTGGTCTGCCGCAACATGTCCGTGAGCCACATGAGTGACTCCATCGCCACACAGCGCTCCTGAGGAGAGAAATGGATGGGATTGGGTGGCATTGGGTGGCAGTTTGGAAGGGAGGAAGGTTGAGACAAGGGAGGAATGCATCAGAGGGATGGAGGCTTGGTCTGGTCTGGTCTGGTTTGCCGCAGCATGTCCGTTAGCCACATGAGTGACTCCATCACTACACAGCGCTCCTGGGAAGAGGAGATAACAGGGGAAGCAGGGTACTCGCGAAATGTCCCGCGTACTGTACGTCGTGAAACTCCTCCAGCAGAATCTGTCGGAGCGGGGCATAGTTCGGTACCCAAATCTTCCCTGTTCCCTTCCTTACAGCTAAGTCCTACTCCCACTGTAACAGCTTCTGAGTCGGTGCTGTAGCGATCTCTGCGTCCACGGAGTACCCATATTGGAATAGACTCTTGTGTAGAGGGTTCATCCTGTCGAGCTGGATGCCTGCTACATGTCCGGAGTGCTCAATGCGTTTGCTTTGTTGTGTAGCCCGGGCTTGTAGATGATGTCGTAATGGAAGTGAGTTTCCAAGAAGTCCACCCACCGCACGTGTCATCGTGAGAGTGTCGGCTGCGACTTCAGGTATTTGAGACTGCAGTGATCGGTGTAGACTGTAGTCTTGGCTCCCTCTAGGTAACACCTTTACGCCTTGAAGGCTATGACTATTGCTAAGGCATCCCTGTCATGAATGGGGTAGTTTAGTTATGCTCCGTGTAGCTTCTTACTGAGGGAGGCGATGGGCTGCAAACCGCGTCCGTGATCCTGCATCAGTACTGCTCCGACTGCCTGGTCACTAGCGTCTGCTCCCACCACGTAGTCTCTGTCTGGATCCGGTAGGATGAGTACTGGCGCTGTAGTCAGTGCTGTCTGTAGTTGCTCCATGGCTTGTTGTTGAGGAGTATCCCTGTGGCCGCATGTGATGTGTTGTTGTAAGCGAATTCATGTGTCGGTAACTATGAATCCCAGTGGCTGACGTCGTCTTTGCAAACGGTGCGCAGTAACTGTTCAACCACCTGATTGAGTCGCTATGTCTACCCGTCAGTCTGGGGGTGGTATGCTGAAGACATCGCAAGTTTTGTCCCCAACAAGCCCATGAATTCCCTCCAGGACTTACTAGTGAACTTTGGGTCTCTGTCTGAGATGAGTGTAGCGGGGATGCCTGGATGGTGATGATGCGGTCGAAGAAGTGGCGAGCAGTTGCTTCAGCTGTAGCCATGGCGTTGGTCGAGATGAGGTGTCCCATCTTAGAGAACTTGTCGATCATCACGAGTATAGCGTCATGCCCTCGTGAGGTCGAAGGAAGTCTCGTGATGAAGTCGAGGCTAACGACCTCCCATGGCAGCTCCGGTACGGGTAGAGGCTGAAGTAACCCAGCTTTTTTCTGCTTGCTACTCTTCATCCGCTGGCACGTGTCGCATGAGGTGACAAACTGCTGCACGTCTGCTGCCATCCCGGGCCGGTAGTAATACTCGCACCCCCACACTCACCTGGCACACTCACCTTGCTGCTGCTGCAGCCGCACACTCACTACCAGTCCGAACATGTTTGAGGAAGAGACGATTACATTGTTCAATACCCCCCCTGCCAAGCACCCGATGCTGGCCCCAGTGCCTATCTAGTTTTGAGGTACCGGAATACATATAAAAATTTGGTACTCACCTTGAGTCCAAACATGTTTGAAGAAGAGACCAGTACGTTGTTCGATCCGCCCCCTGCCAAGCTGCCACTGCTGCTCCCACCGCCAATCACCCCCCCCACCGCCTCCACTGCTGCTGCTGCTGCCGCGGCTGCTGCCTCTCCCAGCGCTGCTGCTGCCGCTGCTCCAGTTGCCGAGGGAGTGCCGGTGGGGGAGAGGGAGGAGATGGGCTTGTTGCGTGCGTCGTCCAATCCCTGCGCGACACGTGCCAGTGTGGTGCGTAGCTTGGGGGTCAGCACTGGGGGGGAGGGAGGGAGTGGTAAGGGGTGGGGGAGCGGTGGGTGGGGCAGAAGAAAGTTGATGAGGAGAGGGGTGAACACTGGTGGGGCAAGAGGGGGCGATAGAGGCGAAGGAGGGGAGTGAAGAGGCGAATAGGCTGCCCCAGACATATGAATAGGCATGTGAAAAGGCATGTGAATAGAGAGTACGCGGCACAGTACGCGGCACAGACATGCTGAAGAGCACTCACAGGCGGCAGCAGCGGGGTCAGAGGAGCGCAGCATGCTAATGGCATCGGGGCTGCCAAACAGCCGGAAGACCGTCACGAGATAGAGGTCAAAGAGCTGGCACAGACCCTGGTATGTGTGTGTGGTGGGGGGTTGCATTGCATACATGTGTATGGGGAGGGAGTAAGTCGAGGGAGTTAGGAGACCGTCACGAGGTAGAGGTCAAACAGCTGGTACAGGCCCTGATGAGTGTGTGTGGTAGTAAGAGGTGGAAAGGGGAGAGTGAAGGAGGGGGGCAGGGAGTGAGGAAAGGGGGCAAGGAGTGAGGGAAGGGGGCAGGGAGTGAGGGAGGCGAATAGAGAGCGAAGTAGGGAGGCAGAGTGTGAGGAAGAGGGGCGGGGAGTGAGAGAGTGGGGTATAGAGCAAGGGAGGGAGGCAGAGTGAAGAAGCGGGCAAGGAAGCGAAGCAGGGAGAGGGCTTACAGCGAAGATCCCGGAAGCAATGGGAGGCAGCAGTCCCATGAGGCGCGTGTAGCGGTCCATGAGCCTGCGAGGTAGAGACGGGGGGTCACAGGGGGAAGGGAGAAGTACACAAAAGCAGCAAGGGTGACTTTCGAGTCGAACCAACCGCAGAGAACAAGTCCCATGAGGTGCGTGTGGCGGTCCACGAGCCTGCAGGTGGGGAGCACGTGGGAGTGAGAGGGAGGGAGTGGCAGAGAGAGGTGCATCACAGAGGACGAAGAGAACAGGAGCACAAGAAAGCATCAGCAGTGACTCTTGAGTCGACTCAAAAGGCAGCAGTCCCATGAGGCGAGTGTGGCGATTCATGACCATGAGTGACACTAACAGCCACACACACACCTGATGACAGTGAGAGCAGCACCAGTGAGCGCCAGACCCGTATCCAGCCCGCCTCTCGATAAAAGTAGTGTTTGAAGTCGTCTAAAAACAATAATTTTATCACGTAACCACACACCTGATCACAGTGAGAGCAGCGCCAGTGAGCGCCAGGCCCGTATCCAGCCCGCCTCTCCCCCCCACATCCCCCCCTCCATCCTCCGACCTCCGCCTGCCCCTACCCGCCAGCACAGCCGCCGACACCCCCACCTCCTCCTCGTCTATATAATCCGCCATTAGCTCCTCCCTCTCGTCCTCGTCCTCCTCTCCCTCCCCTACCCCATCCCCATCCGTACTCAACCTGCCCCTCACTCCTCCTCCCCTCGCTTGGGCTTGGCTCCGGTCCCCTTGGCTCCCTCTGTCTGACTCTGCTCGCCCCCCTGGGAGAATCCGCCCCTGTGGATTCCCTGCTTGCCCTCTGCTGCTACCGTCTCCCCCTTCCCTCGTCCCTGCTGCTGCCCCTGATGCTGACACTGCAGAATCACCAGACCCAGCTTCCGCGCCCCCTTCCCTACCCCCCGTCCCTCCGCCGCCACTCCCGCTGCTGCTCCTTTCACCACCCTCCGTCCTCTCCCCTCCCTCCCTCCCCTCTGCTGCCTCCTCCTCCCCTGCCTCCACTGCTGCAAACGGGTTTCCCCGCTCCAACCACTCCCGGAAATCCCTCCTCTCCTTCGCTCCCTCGCCACCCGAACCCCCCCCCTCCACTCCCCCACTCTCCCTACTCCCTACTGAAGAGGAGGACGATTGGGTGGAGAGGACAAAGGAGGAGGAGGCGGAGGAGGAGGGGGCGGAGGAGGTGGTGAGGTTGATGAGTCTGAGCGTGTGGATGGTCTCTGGCGGGAGGCGCTGCCATGTCTCCCGCTCCAGGATCATCTTCAGCACCTGGTGGTGCATGCATGCACGGGGGAGGGGAGGAGTTGCGAAAGAAAAGTGGGTTGTGACAATGGGTGGATGGTCTCTGGTGGTAGGCGCTGCCATGTCTCCCGTTCAAGAATCATCTTCAGCACCTGGTGGTGGATGCATGCAGGTGAGGGGAGAAAAAGCCACACCCCTTGAGTTTCTGGAGGTGGCAGGTGTTGTAGTCACATCTGAAAACTCTCAAAGGCGACCCTAGCGCATCTGAGTGCAAAAATACCTTGAGGTTCTGGCGGTGGAAGGTGTTGAAGTACACCTCGCTCTGCTTCACCATCTTGGTTCTCAGCCCCGCCGCCTCCACCCCCGTGAACGCCTCTCCCACTGCTGCGAACTTGTCCACCCACTCCAAGCACTGGGGGCAAGGGAGGAGAAAGGAGAAGAGATGAGAGGGGAAAGAAAAGAAAGTAAAGGGGAAAGGCAGGTGCAGGTAGCACACGTAGCCTAATGCCATACGCCCACAAGTCCTGCCTGCCAGCCCGCAACGCACCTGGTGGAACTGCTGGGAGGGCTATGAAGTTCAGGTTTTGAGACGTCTCAAAACTGGAGGGCTATGAAGTTCTAAGCAGAGTTGTATTTTGAGACGTCTCAAAATACAACTTTTATCATGAGCGCAGGCGTGGTGAGCAGCGTGCCCACTCTCTGGGCCACCAGCGCCCACACAGCCTTCCCCATCATCATCACATCTTACCCCAGCGCCATGCCCACACGTTCCGCCAGCCGACAACGCACCTGGAGGAACTGCTGTGAGGACCCCGAGCAGAGCGCGGGGGCAGTGAGCAGCGCTCCCACCCTCCGCGCAGCCAGCTCCCACACAGCCTTCCGATTCTTCTGCAGTGCGCGGCAGACAGCAGCCGTGGTGCTCACGCGCATCTTACGTGCCACGTTGGGCGGCAGGTCCGCCAGCGACCCCTCACTGCCAGCCCCATGCCCACACGTTCTGCCAGCCCCATGCCCACACGTTCTGCCAGCCCCATGCCCACACGTTCTGTCAGCCCCATGCCCACACGTTCTGCCAGCCCCATGCCCACACGTTCTGCCAGCCCCATGCCCACACGTTCTGCCAGCCCCATGCCCACACGTTCTGTCAGCCCACAACTGCAACGCACCTGGAGAAACTGTTGCGAGGATCCCGAGCAGAGCGCCGGCGCGGTGAGCAGCGCACCCACCCTCCTCGCCGCAAGCTCCCACACGGCCTTCCTATTCTTCTGCAGCACGCGACAGACAGCAGCCGTGGTGCTGACGCGCATTTTACGCGCCACGTTGGGCGGCAGGTCCGCCAGCGACCCCTCTCTAAAGTCACTCCCCATCATCATCACATCGTCTGTTCTCAGTGCCATGTCCGCTCCCCCGCCACCACCCCGGTTTCTGCTTCTATCGTCTCCACCACCAACGCCTGCTGCTGCTGCCGCTGCTGCAGCGACAGCTGCTGCGGCAATGCCTTCTCCCAAACCCCCTCCTCCTGCTCCACCTCCTCCGCCTCCTCCGGCGGCTTCTGTCCCAGAAGGCCCTGCAGAGGGGATGGGAGGGCGGCCGTCTCTCACCAGAGCCTCAGCACCAGCAGCAGCACCGGCGCTGCCCCATGCCTCGTTGTGCCCCTCACTTGACGACCGCCTCACCTGCCGCCTCTGCTGCTGCAACTGCGCATGCCCCGTCTGCTGCTGCGCCTGTGCGTCTGTCCTCTCTGAATTTGACCTCTGTGCTTCTGTCCTCTGCACACCTGATCTCTGTCCGTCTGACCCACTAGCGCCCTCACTCCCACTGTTTCGCTGCCCGTCTTGGCCCTTCCCTGGTTCAGCACCGTTGTCCCTCTCACTATCCCCTTCCTCGGCTTTCTCCTGCAGCTGCTCACCACTCCCATTGATCTCTATCACCAAGCTCTGGCTCCTCCGCCTCGCATGCAACCCCTCTCGCGACTCACCGGGTGCCCTGCCCTCACCACCTGCTGCGCTTTCAAACGCTGCAGCTCCGTTTGCCTCACCAGCACCACTGCCCGCACCACTAGCAGCACCACCAGCAGCAGCACTACCAGCGACACTACCACCAGCAGCAGCGGAGACAGAGGAGGAGCGGGGGAGGCCGTGAGGTGGAGTGGGGACGCGAGCGAGTTGGGGGAGGTCGGAGGCGGAGGAGGAGGCAGAGACAGGCGCCGAGGCACACACGGGGTCCGGTGCTGCCATGCGGGGGAAGCGGTCCATTGACATGGTGTTGGGGCGCTGGGGGTCAGTGGGTGGGGTGGGGTAGTAAGGAAAAAGAGGGAATTAGATTGAGATCTTCACAGAGGGGCACACACGGGGTCTGGTGCTGCCATGCGGGGGAATCGGTCCACGGACATGGTGTTGGGGCGCTGGGGGGTGGTGAGGGGGGGACGGGTGGTGGGGGAGTAAGGAAAAGGGGGATTGTAAGGGAGATGTTCACAGAGGCCGGCAGAGTCTGGTCTGGTGCTGCCATGCGGGGGAAGCGGACATGGTGTTGGGGCGCTGGTGGAGGGGATGAGGGGGAGGAGGGGGAAAGGGATAATACAAGGGAGATGTTCACAGAGGCACACACGGGGCCTGGCGCTGGTATGCGGGGGAAGCGGTCCATTGACATGGCGTTGGGGCGCTGAAGTAGGTGGTTGGGTGGGTGGGTGGTTGGGGGAACGGGATAGTGGAGGAATGGAAGGATGAAGATAGGATGGAAAGGGGAAGGGTGGGCGGGGATGGAGGGATGAAGGAAGGCAAAGGTGCTGGCAGGCAGGGGAAGCGAGGCAGGCAGGGGAAGCGACTCATTGACGTCATGTTGGAGGCTTTTGAATAGACTCAAACATGGGAGAAGCACACACACATGGAGCAGCACATATGGCATCAAAACGGCAGCACGCATAGGATTGTGGCATGCAGAGCGAGGGAAGGACGAGATGGAGGATACACAGAGGAGGACCTTACCTTGACGTAGGGGTGACGCCACGTCATCATGTGGTGGTGTGATGCGAACAGATCAAAGAGCACACCCAGAGTGCGCAGCAGACACAGACGAAACACGCCATCCGGCAGCTCCACACACAGCTCACTATAGGCCAGCCTGTGAGGGGGGGTTAATGGGACAGCGGGAAGCACAAGAAAGCAAAAGACGGAACTTTTTTTTTTTTTTTCAGCACCAGAACATAATAGAGGAGACACACATGAATAAGATCGAAACACAAAGAGCAGAAAACAATGCTGCCCTGTTTTACTTTTCATACACGAGGTGGAATCAGAGTGCAAAGTTCAAGGAAGAGATAATGACGAAAGCTGACTCAGATCATAAGCAGCAGGAGCAGGAAGAAATGAATGAAGCACTACAAGCCGCACACATGGCAAGCGCCTAAGAGATACATCACGTGACACAAGTGATGTTTTGAGACGTCTCAAAATGGAGCACTAGAAGCCGCACACATGGCAAGCACCTAAGAGGTACATCACCCTCTCCTCCCCATGCGGCCTCACTCACCTGCTTCTGTGCCCGTCATCCTCCCCCATCGCCTGTACGACAAGCAAGGGCAGAGCAGAGCAGAGGGTAACATAACACAGCTCAGTTGCGAGAGTGAAAAAGTGGGAAGTAGCACTGTGTGCGCAGGAGACCACAGAGCAGACTCAGAGTTGCGGTTATGAGACATGCTGCGCTTGATACGACCAATAAAGCCATGTTTCTCTTGAATGCAACCCGCACCTGCTCCAGGAAGTGCGACTGAGTTCTTGAGACGTCTCAAGACTCAATGGCATGGCATGCCACGCGACATGCCTTGTACAGGAAGTGCATACAGCTGCATGTTGCAGGAGCAGGTGGCTCAGTTCAGAGACGCCTCAAAACGCAAGTCAATAGTCGCAATAGAATGCCAGCAGCATACCTGCTCCAGAAACTGCAGCAGTGTGTCGTAGGTGCAGGTGACGACAGAGTGGGCGAAGAAGTTCTGCACCTATGCTTGCATCACCTTTGAGAATTCCGCGAGATAACAAACAAAGTGGCATACCTGCTCGAGGAATTGCAGCAGCGTGTCGTAGGTGCAGGTGACGACCGACTGGGCAAAGAAGTTCTGCACCTTGTCGGCCAGCGTGGCCGCATCGTCCATCACTGCATACGCATCAATCACCTGAGGGGTGGCGAACAGGGGAAGCGGAGAGAGATCTGATAGTGTGACGACCCTATGAGTCGTCCATTGCAGCATTAACCATCATATGCTGATGGCTTATTGGTGGTACCACTGTTGTAACGCAGGGCAAAAGGCAAGTTTTCTTTCAGTGGGCCATCATATGCATGGGGCATTGATGGATGCACATGACGGGGGTAACACCTGCTGGAAGCTGCTCAGACAATGCATTGCAGGTGAGATACGGACATGAGCACATACATATGCAAACCCGGCAAAAAGCAACACCAAGCACTTATACTATCAGAGAGTTGAAATTTCCGTAGGGCTGAAGTGGCTTACGACTGCATAAGAAGGCGAGTCGAAGGACTTGCAGACAGTGAAGAGCAGAGCATCAACATGGTCCACCACCCGGGTGAGCCACTCCTATTGGGTGAGGGAAGGTGGAGGGAATCGAGACACAGGGGCAGGCACAGGGAATGAAGCGGGTTCATATCTCGCACCCCTACCAGCTGCACGTTTTGCTCGACGAGCGCTAGGCCATGGATGCAGAAAACAAGGCTCTGGGACAAACTGCTGCTCACCTCGATGCTGATGTTCATGTCGCGTATCGCCGCCAGCTGTGCGCTCTCTTCGATGAGCACGAGGCAGCGCGAGCAGAGGGGCAGCGCAGCGCATGATCAGCAGCAGCAGCAGCAGCACCCATGTGCCTCTCCCCACCCTCACACAACCCTCCATCACCCTCAACACCCACTGACACGCCCACCTCAACTCCCACCGACACACCCACCTCAATGCTGATGTTCATGTCTCGTATCGAAGCCAGCTGGGCGTTCTGCTCGATGAGCACGAGGCAGTGCGAGCAGAGGCGCAGCGCGCGGGCGAAGTCGCCCTCGTCGATGCATGCGTCCATGCGGCCCCGCACGTCCACCACCTGCTGCATGCGCATCAGCACTGGCAGCATGCTCTGGTGGGGGGAGGGAGAGGGTTGGTAAGGGGGGAAGAGGAAAATGTATAGAATCAAGGCATGGCACGTCCACCTGTTGCTGCATGCGTATAAGCAAAGGCAGTGTGCTCTGGTAGGGGAGCAAGAGAACAGGGAGCAGGGGATGTGGGTGGTAGTGAGCATTGGTGGCGAGCTGCAATGCAGGTAACACCACTTGAGTAAACTGGAAGGGGCTCACAGTGCGAGTGAGCACAGTTTGAGTGAGGTCAGCTCGAGGGAGGGAGGTGAAATGAATCAACTCACGGTGAGCATCTTCTTCTTGTTGACACTGGCAGCCACCACCAGGTCGCTTGCCACCTCCTCCATCGCCTTGTTCAGATGCCTCCTCGCATTCTGCTCTCAACACGTGCATGTGCAGGGATTGGTTGTGGGGGTGGGGAGAGAGGGGGAGGGGAGAATTGAAAGGAAACGGGGATAGAAGTAGGGGAGGAGATGAGGGAAGTGGCGGGGTTGAGGGTCTGTGAGGGATGGTGGTGGACAGGGTTGACAAGTGCAGCTTTTCATTCAAAAACGACTTTTGAGGCGCCTCAATAGTCGTCTCATGTCTCGCAGTTTTGAGGCGCCTCAAACGTTTGTGAGGGGTGGTGGTGGTGGACAGGGTTGATTGACATGTACAGCTTTTCATTCACAAACGCCTGCCATGCCATATCACTGCATCCCATCGCATGATCTCTCACCCATCTCCATAGCACAACTCCATTCCACCATGCAATGCCATTGCACCCAGCAGATAACGGACACCACCATGCTATAGCATGCCATATCATATCATATCACATCATAGCATATCATATCATATCATATCACATCATAGCATATCATATCATATCATATCATATCACATCATAGCATATCATATCATATCATATCATATCACATCATAGCATATCATATCATATCATATCATATCATATCATATCATATCATGGCATGCCATCGTACCCGGCAGATGACGGACACCACCCGCAGCTCTCGGTCCAGCTCCCCCACCAGCTGCATTCCTTGCACTGCCACAACGCACCGCACCACACCGCACGATGAGAGACAAAATTTCAAGGGAGATTCACCAAGCCATTACGCTTCACCAAAGCCTACACTCCCGCTCGATTGCTAAGTTTTTATAATGAAGTCAAAAAAGCAAGCAACCATCATCAACCACACGCATCCCCCCACCACTCCCACCCCACGCACCCATTTTCTGGTGGTGGTTCATGACCTGCGTTGCCAACTGCTCCGTGATCACGTCCAGCTGCAGCAGCCGCCGCCCGCTGTGCATGCCCAGCTGCTGCAGCGCCACTGTGTCGCTCGGTAGCTGCTCCAGCTCCGCCCTCACTGCGTCAAACGACTGGGGGAGGGTGGGGAAGAGGGGTAAGGGGAAGAGATGGTGGGGTGTGTTGAGCTCAAACCCAGTTGCTGCAGTGCCACCGTGTACCGCGGGAGCTGCTCCAGCTCCGCCCTCACTGCATCAAACGACTGGAGAAAGGCGTGGAAGGGGAAGAAAGAGTGGTGTGTTGTGTTTCATTGGTCAAATTGAAATGAATACAAGCCAGCCATTGAAGCGCCACTGAGTCCCACAGCAGCTGCTCCAGCTCCGTCAGCCCGCACAACGTCAAACGACTGGGGAAATGGGTGGGGTGGGGGGACCAAGCAAAAGGGGTAGGAACCGTGAGAAAAGGGTTTGGGTAGGGGTTCTTCACTGGCCTTCATTACCTGTACAACCATACCCATCTTCGCTTTTGAGTCAACACGCTATGAATCCTAAACTGAACCTGGCCCTCGGTGACCACGTGACATTCCCATGCGCCATCGCCTCCACATCCCCTCTTTTCCTCACACAAACACCCACCACCAATCCCCCAATCATTCGTCCAAACACACAGTCGCACCCACCTCGAGGTAGAACTTGGGGTCCAGCATCTCAGCGCGGTCGTTTTTGGGGCGAGACGCTATGAACCCTGACAGGAACCCAGGCGACCCCGACATGCCCATGCCCTCCACTCCCATCAGCGCCCGCTTCCCCACCATCACCGGGGTTCTCGTCCGCAAATCCTCCTCTGACACGTCAGACAGCGCCGCAGCTGCCACGTCAGCAACGGAGGGGGATGACTCTGAGTCATACCCCGATGAGTGACCAGGACTGGGGTAACGAGGGTCTGGGGAGGGAGAGGAGTAAGCAGCCATGCGGCTGCGAGAAGCAGGAGGGGCGGTCATGGGGGTACGGCTACCCATTCCCATTCCTACCCCTCCTCCTGCTCCTCCTGCGAATTGTGCTCCAGAGGATGATGGAACCGGGGATCCTGACCCATCGTCGCCAGAGGCGAGTAGAGTTAGCTGATTGAACGAGGAGGACGATGAAGAGGCGGCGCCAGAGGGACCACGACCGAAGCCTCTACTGGCAGGCCCAGGGTTGGGGCTAGCATTTCGCAGGGGGGAGTGGAAGCGAGGTGGGGAGGCAGGCGCGAGCAGGATCTGGGAGGGGGATCCTAGAGGGCGCTCGGGGGACGCGTCGGAATAGTCGAGAGTGCGCTGAGTGCGGGATGCGCCGCTGTGGCTGCTGCTGCTAGCACCCGCGCCTTTGGCGCCAAGACCGCTAACCCCCCTGATCCAATCCCTGTCTCTGTCCCCGTCTCTGTCTCTGTCTCTGTCATACTCCCTAATTCCCCCTCTGTCTCTGTCCCTGTCCCCGTACCCATTCGCATTGCCTCCTCGCGACAGAAAGCCGCTCGGACTGCCTGTGCGATTTGAAAGATCCTGATTGGAATTGTTCCTGCTGCCAGAACGGAATGTGTCCGGCTGCTCAAAGCGTGAGGGAGGGTCGTGGAGAAGTGGACGAACCGGGACATTTATCGATCAGAACTAACTAAAAAGACGTGAAAAATGACCAGTTAAGTGAATCGACCAAGGCCTGACCCGGAAGAATGCGGAATGTGTAAACATCTAGCTTGTGCGTGAAAATGGTTTGAATTACGTTTCCCTGAAAAGGGTTAAGACGCTGCTAAGCAGTCTGAAGATTGAGGAGATGAAGGTAGGGGAGTTGGACGGATCGTACGACGGCAGGAGAGGCAGAGTTATCGAGAGGACTGGACATAATTCGATTCGACGCCGTCCGAATCATGCTTTCCGCGAATCTTCTGACTTCATCCATGGCTGGCACACTAGGTCAGAGCTGTCAAATAGAATCAACGATTTAGGACAAGGATGCCGGCCTGGGTCCTGAGTTTCGGAACACTAAGTGTGCGTTCGGCACCGCTTGCAAAGCTTGCGTGCGACTGCTCATCCCAGGACTGATGCGCGTTAGGTTCAAAATCTTTGCGAGCTCGCAGGGTGAACTTGCGAAACTGTGTGCAAGATCATGCCTTTGAATCGCAGCGTCGCATCGGCACAATGTAAACGATCCGCCTCACGCGCTATCTCATTGCACCACTAATCTCCCAGATTAGTCCTCATTAGTGTCTACGGACGAAGCGAGGCACGACAAACTGACCAGCCGGTAATGGCGAATCATCGCGTTCAAAATACACGAGGCTCGCTTGACTGATGCAAAATTGCTGACGAAATTTGACGAATGAAGCTTTTGTGAAGCATGGGGAGGGGAATGGTGGACTGTTGCATGAACTTCAGCTGCAGCAGAGGGCAGGAGGAGGCCGTACCGTACCATACCGACGACCGACACAAACCTGAGGTCCGAGCAAGCACCCACTGATACTGTAGACCCACCCCGCGCAACCACTAAAGATCGCTCGATAATCCCGAGGCCCTGGTTGGCTCTGTGACGACACTCCCACGGCAGGCCTCAAGATTGTCGCCAAATAGCTCGCATTATTACTATTTCGCTTACTGAAAAAAAAAGGTTATGGAACATCTTGTGTAAATAAAAACATTGCACTATTCTTGGATCTCAGACCACACTGCCTTCAATCGTTTCCTTATGCCAGACTTCATTTGGATTGAATCCTCTTCCAATGTTTGCATAAACTTCCAAAAATCGACACCACCATCCTGCAACATGGAAACAAAAACAAACAAAAAGGAATGAGAACTTCAAAAACAACAATGCATGTAATGTCTTAGGATGCTGGTAACTAAACCATCAACAGCGGTGACCAGCCGTAACTTCCTTCCACACCTACATACGTTTCTGGTGGTACTCGTGTACTCACTGCGGGTGGGTGAAAACGGAGGTCGTCCCATGACTTCCCATGTGGCACATTCATGCGGAGCGACACCTGCCAACAAAAGAAATGTAAGCCCAGCATGTTCTGAGGCACGACTTGGAGCAGGGAGCCCATGGGAAATGGAAGAAGGAAGTGGGTGGTCGATGGGCCGTGAGAAAGGCGTGAGAGAAAGATGACTGCTCAAGAGAGGTGCTCACCAGTTCCTTTGATTGGATTATAGAGTCTCTGCTGGCTATAACTGCCTGTACTCATGCATGCATACCCACACACGCACACACACACACACACGCGCGCGCGCGCACGCACGCACACACACACACACACACACACACACACACACACACACACACACAGAAGATACACCACAGGGGATTATATGACGTGTGGTGAGTGGTTCAAGCAGATGACAGTGTTTGTGATATTAAGATACAAACTCAGAATCTCACTCGTCAAGGTTTTGCAGGTTAGATTGAGATTCCTCAAAGCATGCCTATAATTCTTTTGAGTCGACTCAAAAGTCAACTAGATTGAGATTCCTCAAAGCATGCCTATAATTCAAGAGCATAACATGGAAGGGAGCACAGAAGCTCCACCAGTGACTCACTTCTCGTCCCCTCTTGTCCAGTATCTGCTCAGGCTGCTCCAGTATTTGTTCCACAGACCCTGCCATGCAGCATGACATTACGACATGATTACGGCTGGAACGTGGCAGATTATGGTGGGAGGGTGCTGCTGCTACGACGGCAAGATTGTGCAGTGGCATCATGGCAAGAAAGATAAGACATTTGCCCTTGGAGCAAGCAGTACTGGGCAGTGGGTCTAGCTGTCACGAGCGCTGCGTTTAACAGAGAACAAGAGAGAACGAGAGAGAACAAGAGAGAACGAGAGAGAACAGGAGACAACGAGAGAGAACAAGAGAGAATGAGAGAGAAGAAGAGAGAACGAGAGAGAACGAGAGAGAACAAGAGAGAACGACAGAGAAAACTATCTGATGCAGCATCACGTCTGTGCCTGTACCATGCAGATGCAGTTATCCCAGCATCATGAACGCAGAACCCACCGTATTTGCGTTTGAGTCGACTCAAAACTGCTTTTGAGTCGACCAAAAAACAGCATCACGTCTGTGCGCCTATCATGCAGATGCAGTTATCCCAGCATCATGAAGGCAGAACCCACCGTATTTTCGGACAAGCTTGGGTGCGTTCTTGCGGCCGATGCCACGCGCCCCTGGGAAAATGGAGAAGTACGGAAGGGGAGCGACAGCGAGGGAAGCAAACATGCATTGCCAGTACCCACACCACATGAATGAGTGTCGCGCGTACCAAAGTACTCTCAAATTGTTCGTCGGACAAAAGGAGAATTCGCAAACTGCACGTTCCCACATAACAAAACACCTCCAACAAAGCTCTGCAAAGAGTCTGGACGAACCAGGAATGTTGTCGCTGACGTCACCCATGAGAGCAAGGATGTCAGCAAAGAGCGGCGGATCCACGTCACCCCAGTCCCTTCAGAAGTGCTCCTTTGAGAAATCTCAGAAGCGACTCAGAGTTTGAGAAAGAGTCACCACGAACCGGGAATGTTGTCGCTGACGTCACCCATGAGGGCGAGGATGTCAGCAAAGAGCGGCGGATCCACGTCACCCCAGTCCCTCCGAAAGTCCTCCTCCGCGTATGTGTAGAAGTGCGACGTGGGGTAGCGCGGGCTGCCCCGCCTGTTCACAAGGGAAAAGGAAGGCAAGGGGCGGGAGGTGGGGAAGCATGTTGCCCCAGTCTCCTCGAAAGTCCTCCTCCGCGTATGTGTAGAAGTGCGACGTGGGGTTGCGCGGGCTGCCCCGCCTGCGTTGGTAAGGGGGTGTCGGATGGGCGATCGGCAGGGGGAGGGAGGTGGGGGGGGGGGAGGGGTTGGCGGGTAGAAGGGGGGGGGTGGTGCAGGGGAAGAAGGGTGTGTCGGGAAAGAGTATGGGAACGAATGGAAAGAGAGCTCTATATGGGTTTGGATGGACACACCAGATGCACTCCAGCATTCATTGAAAGAGTGAGGCGGAAGAGTGAGGTGAGTAAGGCAGGTGAGACATGAGGGTGAAGTGAGTGTGGTGGTGGTGTGAGAGTGGGGTGACCGAAAATATCTCATTACAGCCTGGATTGAATCAACATAAGAGACAACGGATTGAACGACCATATCCGAACCCAAAGCGACCAAAAGGGGGCGAGGGGGAAGGGGGGGAAGGGGGAGGGAGCAGGGGGGAAGGGGGAGGGAGTAGGGAGAAGGGGAGAATGGGGGGGAACGAGGGGGAAAGGGCACTGACTTGGGGCGTTGTGTGGGTCGCAGCATCTTGAGGTTGGGAGAGAGCAGCTGAAAGAAGTCCTTGTCAGGTGATGCTATGCGCACCTGGGGGACGAGGAGGGGATGCAGAGGAAAGAGGGGCACAGGAGAGAGAGTCAATGATTGCGCTGTGAGAAACATGTCCTGAGCAGAGCAGCTGAAAGAAGTCCTTGTCAGGTGTTGCTATGTGCACCTGATGGGGAAGAGAGGAGGAAACAAAACCACAGGCGAGAGAGTCAATCATTGCGTTTTGAGACATGTCATGAGCGGGAGGAGTGAGAGGAATTCGCTTCCCGAGCAATACCATGGCCACCTGAAGGTGGGAGTGGGAGGGGTTTGGGGAGGAAGGGAAGAAGGGGTGGGGGTATGTGCGGTCATAGGAAGAAGGCAGGAGGAGGAGCAAGAGGTGTGTATCTGATGTGTCAGAAACAGGAAAAGGGCCCTTTCCCTATGAGGGTGCATCGAACCTCCTTGCATGCACCCTCCATGCAACAATCACTCAATTGACCCTCACCTGCCAATCTTGTCTGCTGCAGTTCTGACCTTCCCTTCACTCCTCACCGTGCCTTCATCTGTTGAGCCAGTGCACTACTTTCACACCATTCTCAAGAGCTTCTGCTTCGATATCTGAACGTTTGACACATCTAAACGACTCCTCACCTCGCCCGCATGTTTTTGAGACGTCTCAAAAACAACCTCGCTACACGTCTCAGAGACGTCTCAAAAACAACCTCGCTACACGTCTCAGAGACGTCTCAAAAACATCTAAACGACACCTCACCTCGCCCGCATGCTTCGGAGCAGCACAGTACCGCAGCACCTCTGCTGCGAGAATCGCACTTTTGAGAGATCTTAATACTCCTCACCTGGCCTCCATGCCTCGAGGCAGCATGCCCACCTTCATGCCACTCTGCAGCGTCTCTGTTGCGAGAGTCGCAATCACATCGTCCGCCTCCACTCCGGATACCTGCAGGCAGAGCGATGCGTACACAAGGACATGATACACACACACAGGCAAAGGCGCCATCATACCAAGACCGCATAGCAGCATCAGTCACTGTGCCTCTGTTGCGAGAGTCGCAATCACATCGTCCGCCTCCACTCCGGATATCTGCAGGCACACACACACACACACACACACACACACACACACACACACACACACACACAAGGTCACGATGCACACACATAGAGACAACGGCACCATCACACCAAGGCAGCATCATTACTGTGCCTCTGTTGCGAGAGTCGCAATCACGTCGTCCGCCTCCACTCCGGATATCTGCAGGCAGAGCGATGCACAGGGCACACACACAAGGGCAGAGCACACGCACGCTCAAGGGCAAGCATACACACACGCGCGCGACACACACACACCACAGGCGCTGTCAGTACGTCCCGTACCCTGCCTTTGAGGCGCCTCAAGGCAGGCATACACACACGCGACACACACACCACAGGCGCTGTTATGTCAGTACGTCCCATACGCTACAGGCTTCCGGGAAACGCACAAGCCCACCCCGAAGGCCACAATCTCACATCCTCCACTCACCGCAAAGGACGGCAGCTCCAGGGCGCGCAGGGCGGCCTGCATGAGCTCCATGGCGCGTGACACGGCGTCAGATGCGTATAGAAGCAAGTCAAAGCTACCCTCCGCCACTCACTGCGAAGGAGGGCAGCTCCAGCGCACGCAGGGAGGTGCGGCCTGCATGAGCTCCATGGCTCGCGCCACGGCGATGCATTGAGAGCATCCAATAACCCTGCACCGCACTGCACCACACGAAATCAAGCCTCAAGCTTTGCACTCACCGCAAAGGATGGCAGCTCCAGTGCGCGCAAGGCAGCCTGCATGAGCTCCATGGCTCGTGACACGGCGTCAGGGCGAGGCGGACGCGTGCTCTTGTATCCCTGGAAGGAATCGTGGCGGAACGTGGGGTCTGCGTGGGAAGAGGAGCGGAGAGGAGGGCGTTAGAAGGTGAGAATGAGACCTAGGCGTTAGAAGGTGAGTATGAGACCTAGGAATGACTTGTGATGCTCTTGTAGCCCTGGAAAATAGCAAGATGACTTTTAGAGCCAAATCAAAAGTCATCTCCCTAGGAATGACTTGTGATGCTCTTGTAGCCCTGGAAAATAGCAAGATGACTTTTAGAGCCGACTCGAAAGTCATCTCCCTAGGAATGACTTGTGATGCTCTTGTAGCCCTGGAAAATCGCGAGACAGAACGTGGTGTCTGTGTCAGCAAATATTGTATTGACGATGGGCTCAAGAGAGCCAAGGTATACATAGATGGAGGAAGTGTGACCTTGGCCAACCATTATTGGAGGCCCCAATAATTGTTGGTTTGATTGGACCAACATTATTGGAGCTCCGATAATTGTTGAGAGGGTTTGAACCAGCATTATTGGAGGTCCAATGATTGTTGGGAACCCAACCAAACTTAAACCACAAATTGTGGTTGAAGGCACACCCAACAATCCTAGACCTATTCTAGCATATGCATGTTGTATATAAGATATTACAACAGTCTGCATGGGAAAGCGGGGGTTGAGAGGGGGAGGGAGGAAGAGGGGGGAGAGTTGGGAGTAAGAGACGAGACTTCTACGACCTGTGAAACCTCGGCATGAGTCTTAATGTTCTTAAATGGGCGCCATGAACTGAAATTGCGTTTGTGAGGCGAACTGGAAAGTGTAAGTGGTACGCACAACATGGAATCACATGATGCATTGTATGTTACTTTGGTAAACAATGGCTGACTCACTCACCCCCATGGTCAAACACCAGCTGGGAAGAACCGAGGAGCCACAAGCAGGAGGCCGCAGGGCAGGAAAAAAAGGCACATTTTCGTGCAGGAGGAAGAAGAGAGAGGGGAAGGAGGAAACAGGGAGGGGGAAATAGAGGAACGAAGAGAGGAAAGGAGAAGTTTTGTGACAGAGCAAGATGTCGTGCCACAAAGTGACTTTTGAGTCGACTCAAAAGAGAGGAGAAGTTTTGTGACAGAGCGAGATGCCGTGCCACATATCATGGTGTGCAGGTTGCTCACGGGATCATGTATCATGTATCATGTATCATGGGATACGGAGAGACATGAGTGTTGTGTGCTCTGTATGCGACTCTCTCTTCCCCATTATGCGTTACACAGATAAAAAAAGAACTCGATAAACACGACATCGTCACACCCCACCACACTCACTGCTACGTGTGTTGGGAGCATCGCTAGAAGGTTGACGATCTGAAACCACGTTACCACCGCAGAACACAAAGACAGGCATACGGGATAGAGTAGAGCACATACGAAAGGGATGGAGGTCAGGCAAAGAGACGGTAAATGAGGAAGGGATGGGCTGCGGCAAGTATTCTGGGCTGCGGCATGTATTTTAAAGTGCCATAGACAAGAGTGGGAAAGCGAGGGAGGAGTGGGTTACGAGAGGGAAGGAAGGCAAGAATCAATTGAGGCTGTCTGCTGCCTCACAAATCAGTGGGCAGTCAGAGGTAAGAGGAGATGGGGTGTCGGGTGGAAATCCATCCACACACCCACCTGCTGTTGCTTGAGGAACAGGAAAGCAATACACGCACCTGTTCAAAGGACTTGCAACGTGCGCACCTGGCCTCAAACGGCTTGCAAGTTGCAACACACGCACACACCTGCTCTAAGGACTTGAACAGCGTGCCCATGCCGTCCTCGTCGTTCCGGTGCATGAATCTGAAGCCCTTGGGAGCACATGCACCTGTAGAAACGACTAGCATTGCAACAAACAACACGCACCTGCTCGAACGACTTGTCGAGTGTGCCCATGACGTCCTCGTCGTTCAGAAAGCATCAATCTGATGCCCTTGGGAACACACGCACCTGCTCGAACGACTTGCGTTGCAGCGCACACACGCACCTGCTCGAACGACTTGCATTGCAGCGCACACACGCACCTGCTCGAACGACTTGCGTTGCAGCGCACACACGCACCTGCTCGAACGACTTGAACAGCGTGCCCATGACGTCCTCGTCGTGTGCGAAGGTGTTGTAACCGCTGTGATGTAACCGCGCTGCGAGGCACACCGGCATGCAAGAGAAAAACGTAGTTGGTCTTTTTAGAGTTCTCCAAAACCAGCTGTGGTGTACCCATGCTGCAAGACTAACTGGGATGCAAGTGAGATCACACGACATTGAACAGGAAAAAGAGTGGATGAGCGAGTAGCCATCACCTGATGCTTGGTGGTATGCTCTGTACTCTTATAAACTACCTCGAAGTAGCGAATTCGCCTGAAAATCCGCAGAGCCTGGTAAGTCTGGCACACTGCAATTGCTACTGAGCATCCTCAAAGTTACCTTGGGAGTATCAGACTCGCCTGATATCTGGTGGTAAGCCCGGTACACTACAGGATGGCCATCGATCAATAGCAACCGTCCGTTGTCCTCCTGCCAGCCCTCCATCGCGCTTGGCTCGTGCTCGTCTATCAACGCTTCCTGCTCCTCGATCATCTTCTCTTGCTCGAACCTTATTTCTTGTTGCACCACTAACTTATTTCGTCGTGACGCCACTCCCGTCATGTCCTGAGCCTGAACCCCATCAGTTGCTTCAGGTGATATTTTTACTTTTTGTCCTGGCGTATCTGGCAGATTTTCCACGTCGGCAACGGCATCGCTGCCAGCTCGGACCACGATGCTGTCGATCCGAGCGACGCGGCTAACCCTAACGGTAACGGACGACGACGAAGACGATGCGGAGGTTAAGGAGCGAAGCGAACCGAGAGAGCGAGAACATGAAGTCGCGGTGATGACGTGTTTCCTAGAGTCAGCATGTGACGCTTGAACGGGTATTCGATTCAAACGCGCTGTGGACGCGTTTTCGTGCCGAAAAAACCTGGAATGGCGAGGGTAACAAGTGACGATACAATCGTGCGGCCTTATAAGTGGTAACGCGAGGGGGTTCGCCATGGAGAATTCGTTCGAATTCGCGAAGATCTTCGAGCTACCGGATGAAATGACGGGGAGATTGCGCGCGGAGAGACGAAGGACGCACTGGAGCAAGGAGGATCGACGAGGTCTGAGAGCGAGAGGACGAGGGGCAGCGACGCCTCGAGCCAGCATGGCTGGCGTCACGTAAAAGCTTATTTGCTGCTGAAATGACGCCTAGGCAGATGTGGATTGTGGATTTGGATGAACCAAGTTGGCTGTGATTCAGTTGGCTATTTTTCTGTAACTGGATCTCTGAAACGAACAGACGATTTAATAATTGGACTTCGTCAGACATTACCCAGACGCGTCGCCACGAATCACGACCCAGGAGAGCTGTGAGGAGGAACGTTTTCCATCGCGTGCGCAAGCCTAGTGGAAAAAAATCGGCAAATCCACCTCCGTTTTCAGGGTAACACGGAACAAGCCAACCAGCTTCGCGAAACAACCCAACTTCGTTTCCAAAACACCTTCCTGTTTGGAAACCTGATCTCAGGCCATAAATTGGAATAGATATTGCACTGCCTGCGTCAGCAGGCAGTGCAATGAGTCAGCGGGCAATTAAAAAAAATAAAACCCACTCCGAAGGCATGCCATTCGGGAGGCATCAACCCTAAAATTTTAGGGTTGAGGCTCCCGAATGGCATGGAGTCCGAATGGGTTTTAGTTTTTTTCTGCCCGCGGTCAGCATGCTGACTCACTCGGTAGCGTCGTCTAGCGAAATGGTAGTGCTACCGAGCGCCACCGACACTACCAAGTGCAATATATTGCTTGGAATTTGGCAGCGAATGTCTGTGTGTGAGGGGCAGAATTGTAGGTTTCCACTCGAGTAATTCCGACTTGTAGCTGGTTATAGAGACGTGTTGAATTGGCACACTAGCTGACCCTGGGTTGTGATAGTCACGAAGCACCATCGCCTGCTTGCGTCCGACGCGCTTACCAAATACTTTCGTGTCGGCGCTGTCCTTACCTCTCGAGGTGACTTTTGAGTTGACTCAAAAGTCGCTGTCATTACCTCTCGCCCTTTGACGTCGCCAGCCAGTTACCAGTCCGCAGCCCACCCGTATTCTTTTTACGAAGACGGAATTTCTGTTACCAGGCAGTTCGCGAGTTCGTGGCAGTGCTTGCCTACAATCGTAATCTCAAAAGGTCGGGAAAAACATGTAGGTAATGGTGATTATTTCTTCTTTCTTCTAGGTGACTCTAGGTTCTTCTGGGCATTCGTCGGTTCCTTTAACCTCCTTGCAACCCTCTCAGCTCCTCTCAGCTCCTCTCCTCCTCTCCCGTCCTCTCTTTCCTTCTCTCTCTTCTCCACTCCGGTTGTCACCAGCAATGAAGCGCAGCAAGTGGCGTGTGAGGGCGCATCCAGAAGGGAGCACGCCAGCCGCGGACGGAGCACCCGGAAATCCCGGAGCGGGGAAGGCACTGTCGTGGCAGGATGAGGAGGTGTACCGAATGTTTCGGAAGCACGGACAGCACATGATAGGCCTGCTCCATGGCTTTCTGAGCACGATCGACCTGAAGGTCAACCACCACCGAGTCGTCCAGGCCACCAAGGTTTACGAATTCCCTCGCCTTTTCAGATTAATAGAGTTAGTTCGCTCTTAGTAGGCTTGCTGCGGATCGAAACCAACTGATTTCAATTCAACCACCACAGAGTCGTCCAGGCCACCAAGGTGCGAAATGGGTGAATCTAACGGAATCAATAAATGTGACGTGGTGACTCTTGCTTTGAGTCGACGCTTGCTTGAGTCGACGCAAAACGAATTGGCATGCTCCAGAGTCTAAATGTAAAGGCGCCTAAAAAAATATTGTGAGGGGGTGACTCTCGAGTCGACTCAAAAGTCACACGATTGGCACGCTGTAGGGTGTGTTGGCCAAGATCAACCACGTCCTGAAGGAAATTGCAGGGATTTGTTCAGAATTCTCAAAAAAATCCCTGCAGCGTCCTGAGGCAATTGGCTCTCAAAAACAGAGAGAGAAATATAAAACCAAGGAAAAAGAAAGAAAGGGAAAAGTCTACGCACTCTTCCCCCCTCCCCTCCCCCACACCCCACCTTTCCCGTTCTCCCCAAAACGAAACCCCCACCAATTTCCTTGTTTCCCCGCCCCCCTCTTTCCTCTTCCCCTTCACCCCTTTCCAGCATGTCAGCGAATACCCACCCAGCATCCAGCGAGCTCTCGAGAGCCTGAAGGAGTACCGCCGCCAGCAGCAGCTCAGGCCGTCCCACTTTGTTTGGAGACGTCTCAAAACCTTACTTTCTTCCCCCCCCCCCCCCCCCCCCTCTCTCCTCATCCAGCCGTTCGACGAATACCCCCCCAACATCCACCGTGCTCTCGAGATCCTAAAGGAGCACCGCCGCCAGCAGCAGCTCAGGGCAAGCGGCAGCGATGCTCCGGCGCGCAAGCGGAAGAGGAAACTGCAGGGGCGGTGGCCGCGGAGGTTCAAGGAGATCTGCTTCTTTCTGAGTGCGGCAGGGGTGCCGTGCCCTGCTGACTGGCAGCAGCAGGTGGAAGAGGCTACTGCTGCTGCTCTGGCCGCTGCTGGCCCTCGCCGTCGCAGGGCTGCTAGGGATACTGTTCATGCTGCTGGTGCTGCTGGTGCTGCTGCTGGTGCTGGTGGTGCCGCTGCTGCTGTTCGGCCTTCTGGTCAGCCCATTCTTGGCAGGAAACGGAAGGCAGAAGTCTCAGTGGGGAGTGTGAGAGGGAGTGTGGGGAGGAGCAAGGGAAGGCGGGGTGGGGAAGGAAGGCAGGAGGAGCGGAACCCACTTGGTGATAGCTTGGCTAATGACAGAAGGGTCGATGCTGGTGATGGTGATGATGTTGGGGAGGTGGTTGATGGGGATGCTTCCTGCAAGGGTCTGAAGCGTTCCGGCACGACTCAAAAGGTGGCTGGTGGGAATGCTGCGCACAAGAGTTTGAAGAGTTCCGCACGCGGCAAGCCGTCGGCAGCAGCTGATAAGCCTGAGGGCATGGCAGGGGTTGTGAGAGAGGTTGATGTTTCCTCTGGTCGTGAGAACAGATTCTCTGGGAAGGGCAGTCACAGGAGCGATCATCGCATGGAGAAAAAAGCTGCTGACGGGGAGGGGGAGGGGAAGGCCGCTGGAGGCAGTGAGGCCGCTGGTGGCGATGGGGAGAGAAAAGTCGCTGGAGACAGAATGGCCACTGGTGGCGATGGGAAGAGGAAGAAGGTTGCTGGTAAGCGGGACTTTTGCAGCACAAAAGCAGGGAAGAGGAGCCGGGCGACCATGCGCTGTCTGGAGCAGGCGACCAGGGAGCGGCTGTGTGAGATAGGGAGGCAAGCAGAGGAGGCGGATAGGCGTGCTGTGGAGGCCAAGAGGGCGCTGGTGGATAAGTACTTGGAAATTTTGAAGGAGAAGCTTGAACAAGGGGTGGAGGAGGAGAGAAGGATGCTTGCTGAGGTGGCTGAGAGGGAAGAGGCTAAGCTGGCTCGCATGGCTGGCTTGCTGTGATTTGTTGACTTATTCCTGAAAGGGGAGCGGCTGTGTGAAGTAGGGAGGCAGGCAGAGGAGGCGGATAGGCGTGCGGTGGAGGGCAGGAGGGCGTTGATGGATTAGTACTTCTTCTGGAACGGGGGGTGGAGGAGGAGGGAAGGCTGCTGGCTGAGGTGGCTGCGAGGGATGAGGCTAAGCTAGCGCGCATGGCTGGCTGCTTGTTGTGATTTGGTTTTGATTGGTTTGTCGTTTGATTGATTGCAAGGAGCGTGCGTGAGCACGGTGGACTATTCAAGTCTGGTCACTGCTCATCAATCGTAGGGCAGCTACATGATTCTTCTTACGGTGCCGCAGACTTTCCTATAAGGTCCATGTGTAACAGTGATTAGGAGTAAACTGGTATCGTAACTGCGGTACGGTACTCGTACGGCATTTGTGTACATAGTGTCCTGGCCAGCCAGTTGACATCTAAGTCCTACTTACAGCTGGTGCTTTGACTGGCTGCATTTGCTGTTGTGTGTACCGCTCCCCCCACTTGTGAAGCATGGTACGGTAGGTGTCGGTTCATCTGTGAACCCAAGTGACGGTGAGTGGCGGAAAGGCACAGGACAGGAGGAGTCACTTTAAAAAGAATTTGCATGAATATGCGGCAGGGAAGCTGTCAAAGTGGAACAGAATTTGAGACGTCTCAAAATACAACTTTTATCACAGAATTTGCATGAATATGCTGCAGGGAAGGCACAGAGGCAGGAGTCAGAAGGCTGAAGGCAGGGAAGCAGGGAGGCAGAGAGGCAGGGAGGCAAGGAAATGGGAGCTAATGGTAGTGCGAGACGGACGGGACAAGGAACTGGAACTGTACAGCATAGAATCAAACTGGCACATACCATGCCTACATTGGCGCTCTATGTACACTGAACATTGTGTAGCCACATTATAGTGGTAAAGAGACGAACTGAGACTGTACAGTACAGCTAGGGTGCATGCACCATCGCGAGAGTGCAACCGCCAGACCAGCCGTGGCATCTTCCCAGCTCACTGGTCCCAATGGGGTGGGGTTCGTTTGCACCCTGAAGGGCGTGTTGGAGTTCCTATCCCTACTTGAGATGTCTCAGAGCAGCTGTGACATGGAGGCTATCCCGAGTGCGGAGCCATCTGCAGCCATCTCTGCCTCCTACCCCCAGAACGGAGGCAGCCAGTGGCACAATGGCAGCTCCCGCTACCCTCCACTGCTACCGCTCTTCCTTGCTGGGCTTGTTGGGGTTGGTGACCATGTCTAGCATAACCCTCTCCCAGGTGCGTCCTGTCTGAAGTCGTCTCAATGCTGCTGCCATACGAAGCTGCTCCTCTCAACAAAGCAGCTGCTGCTACCGCTACTCCTTGGAGGGCTTGTTGGGGTTGGTGACCATGTCCAGCATGACCCTCTCAAGTGCGACCTGTCGTGAGTCGTCTCAATACTGCTGCCATACCAAAAAACTACTCCCAACACACAGGCACCTACTACTACCGCTCCTCCTTGGAGGGTTTGTTGGGGTTGGTAACCATGTCCAGCATGACCCTCTCAGGGGCGTCCTCCCACTTGCCCACGAACTTGGCCAGATCCACCTGGGGAGGTGCATGTGGTGGAGGTGCATGTGGTGGAGGTGCATGTGATGGAGGTGCATGTGGTGGAGGTGCATGTGGTGGAGGTGCATGTGGTGGAGGTGCATGTGGTGGAGGTGCATGTGGTGAAGGTGCATGTGGTGGAGGTGCATGTGGTGGAGGTTTGAGATGGAAGGAGAGGCAATGGTGCTGGATTAGCGCACTGAGCCAGCTTCTGTCAGGGACCTAAACCCGAAACCCTGACCCACTCTTACCTTCCTACTCTGACCTTCCCCCCTAGCCTGTCTCACCACCCCCCTCTGCTCCATTCCCCTCCACCATCTCACCCCCCCCCTCTGCTCCAGTGCCCTGTCCACGCTCTCTCACCTTTCTCCTCTCCTCCACCCTTCTCCCCCACGCTCACCTTTCGCCTCTGTTCGGTGAAAAGCTGCTCTCGCTGCTGAAAGGCCACCCTCTTGTCCTCTGCCACCTTGCCACCTAAACCCCATACGCTCACATCCTCTCCCCCTTGCTCCTTTCCCCTCCCCCACGCTCACCTTTCGCCTCTGTTCGGTGAAAAGCTGCTCTCGCTGCTGAAAGGCCACCCTCTTGTCCTCTGCCACCTTGCCACCTAAACCCCATACGCTCACATCCTCTACACGCACACTCAGCTCTGCATAGCCCTGCATGTTTGGCACGGAAATTGGACGTTAAGAAACATTAACACACAGCAGTGCCAGTAGCACACTGGCTGAAGAGAATTATATTTAATCCAGCATGTGCATAGGAGAATATACGGAAAACATCAGCATATATGCATGGAAAAAATGTATGGAAACTGAAGCCAACATACAACCCACACCCCCACTCCATTGTGGGTAAGTTCAGAAGCTCACCTGGTCGGGGTGCAGGTGACCTGGTCGGAAGGTCTTATCCACTGCATGGTGCCTCACAATGGCGCTTCGAAACTCCTCATCCACCCACACCCGCTCCCTCCCCCTGCTGCCCCCCACGCCTATCCCCAACACCCTCGCCTTCCCCCCCCCTGCTGCTGCTGCCCTGCCCATACCTCCTGCCCTACCAGCCCCACCAGCAGCACCAGTACGGGAAATGTTGCCACCCCCCACCTTTGCCGATGGAGTGCAGATGAAATTACTAGCCTGGCCTGGTTTGACTCGGGGAAAGGAGGTTGAAAGGGAGGAACGGAAGCGCTCCGAGAAATGAGGGAAGAACGACCAAGTCACACGGGGAATTCAGAAGGATTTTAGAATATAGAGATGGGAGGCGAGAGAAAGGTGAGGAGAGGACGAGAGATGGCAAAGCGTTGGAGAAAATCGATGGAAAAGAGAAGGACACGAAACAGGAAACACACCAGTAGGCTTGTAAAGAGCGAAGGAGGGCGAGAGCTGCATGAGAGCAGAATCCCTGGCGTCACCAGAGTAGGCATCAGCATTGGCCACAGCAGCAGACCATTTTGAGGCGCCTATAAAACAACCTCAAAAGGCATCTAAGAGAGGGAAACCTCACCGGTCGGCTTGTAGAGAGCGAAGGAGGGCGAGAGCTGCATGAGAGCAGAACCCCTGGCGTCACCAGAGTAGGCATCAGCATTGGCCACAGCAGCAGACGCCATTACTCCCACCAGCCACGGGGGCTGCTTTGCCATGCACAGTCGGGTGCAGTGAGAGAGGAGACCCCCGCAGTGACAGTGAGAGGGGGAGGTGGAGGAGGAGGGGGAGGAGGAGGAGGAGGAGGAGGAGGAGGAGGAGGAGGAGGAGGAGGAGGAGGAGGAGGAGGAGGAGGAGGAGGAGGAGGAGGAGGAGGAAAGGGGAGAGGAGGGCGGGTGGTGGAGGGAGAGCAGCAGCATCCAGGGACCACCATAGCCTTCAGCTTGGGCCATGAATCGGCGAATGCCACGGCCATGCAGGGATGCCCGATACAGCAGCTGTGCACCATGCACCATGCCCCCCCTTGCACCATGCAATGTCGGCTCTTTGTCTCCTGTCGCCCCTGTTGGTTGTACCCGAGTCATACCTGCTGCACTGAGAGGGTCCGGAAACGCCATGTCAAGCGCCCAGGCAACGCCACGTGGCATGGATTCTGGGTTCCCATTGGTGGAATCAGTTTCTCTGGTGGAAGCAGCAGATGTGCTTGTAACAGGAGGAAGCGAAGATGCAGCGCTGGGAACAGCAGGGGCGGTGGCTTTGGGCGTGGGTGCTGCGTTGCTGGCATCATGCGTGGTTGAAGAAGAGGGAGCATCTGTGCATGAAGCAGCGGCGAAGCGGTGAAGCACGAAGGCTGAGAGGCGCGTGGATAGACCAGGGAGCTGACCCATCAGCCATGACACGAGCTTGGCTGACTCAAGACGAGGCAGAGACTCGTTATAGGCTGATCCGCTATCAGTAGTAGCACCAGGTGCAGGCACCGAAATAGCAGCAGTGTAATCTGTGGCAGCAGCGCTCTCAGTGGCAGCAGCTGAAACAGCTCCTCTAACAAGGCTCTGAAGCATGTGGAGCAAATTTGAAGGTATGGTAGACTGATCATTGGAGTGTGCTGCCACGTTGGAGAGATCAGCATCTGCACCACCACCACCACCACCATCCCCATCCCCATCCCCATCCCCATCCCCATCCCCATCGCCATCACCATCCCCATCGACATCACCATCTGCACCCCCATCAACAACTTTACTACCACTGCCTGCCTTGTCTTGGCTCAATGCCTCCGCCTGCTGCTCCATCGCCCAGCACGTGAGGAAGAGCAGCCACACGTGCCATGCGCGCACCTCCCTGCTCTCACTTTCCCCAACCTCTTGCTGCTGCTGCTGCTGCTGCTGCTGTTGCTCTGACCGCGGCTGCAGTTGAGTTTCTCCCTCCAGGTTGTCTGGCCTGCAGAGGAGAGCTTGGGACACCGAGGGAGCACATGGGATGGACGGCATCACGGGGAAACGGCCGCGGGGCTCGTCACTGCGGGAGTGTGCACCATTCCGATCCAAAACGGAGCTCTGCGAGTATAAGCTCTGGGACTGTGACTGTGAGCTTTGTGAATGTAACGAAGGCGAGCTGGCGGATGGCGGAACGAGCGCCACACGAATCAGAGACATGACTCGCAGCAGCCTTCTCATGCGTGCTGCAGAGGAAGCTTCCTTGCAGCATCCTGCCAAACCAACGATAAACTCCTCCCAAGTCACCCTCGCCCTCCTGCTCGCCGTCCTGTGCATCCCGCCACCACTGCCAGTACTAGCACCACTAGCACTGCCCTCACCTCCACCGCTGGCTGTAGAAAGATTCTGTCGTGTGTCATCCCTGGCAGAGCAGCTGCACATCTGGGAGCTAGATCCGGCAGCGTCAGTGCAGGTGGAACCATCAGCACCACGCCTGACCACTGGCAGCATGGAATCTCTTTTACCACCATCTGATCCAGCATCTGTTCGTGCTTCCCCTCTTTCTTCCTCTTCCTCCTCCTCTTCGTCCTCCTCATCGTCACTCCCATCACTTGCACCATCCATCGGACCCATCCAAGACGCCTCCCAGTCTTGATCAATAGCTTCAACTGCTATCTGCGTGGCTGAACCATCCTTCTTGGTGCTATTGCTACTACAGATCTTGGCCATCGATTTTCGTACCGATTTCCTGAAGCGGACCCCGAACACGTCTGCAGCGATTGCTCGTGCCACTTGACGGGACAACGCCTCCACAGCCACACGCGAAGGAGGAGGAGCAGCAAGAGTAGCAGCAGCAGCAGGAGCGGAACCAATCGCATCAGTAGAAGCAACGGTAGCAACAGAAGCAGCAGCTGCAGAAGCCGATGAACCACTGACAGCACACACGCTATCTGCAACAACAGTATTGGTCAAATCCCTGTCTTCGATGCTGTCTTGCGGTCCATGCGTCTTTTCGTTGGTCAACCTCTGGTCCTGCGGCGGCTGCTGCTGCTGCTGCTGCTGCTCGTTATGGATCTCCATGACAAAACGCAGCAAAGGACATGGCAGCGCTTCCAGTGAAAGGGACAGCTTCAACTCGTCCTGCATGGGAAAATGGCAAACAAGGTAGACGATAAATTACAATAATAATAATAAATAAATAACATGTCCTTCAAAATCTGCTCGACCATTTTTGTTTTCAAGGTTCAAAGTTCTCACCGCTAGGACCTGTGCCGGGATAGTCTTGCGGGTAGAATTTCCGCGTCTACCACGCTGTACCAGCCGAGAAAACGCGATCCTTATTCGAGCTAGTTCCTGAGGCGGAAACTGTGCCTCGGCTTGCGACACCACAGATATGTCCGATCCGTCCCCGGCAGGGGAGGGCGACGATGGTGCTATCCCCATGTTGGATAAGGGAGGTCTGGAGCTCAAATTGATCTCACCAAAGTTTATCAAAGGCGCTGGAATCAGCGTAGAGCTAGTGGATTCAGCGCTAAGAGAAATCAGGAAAGGGGGTGCACTAGTGGGAATCTTTAACAGCTATGGCTCTAGTGGAATTTGTTGTAGCCGGGATCGCCATTGGAGATGGTACAAGGGTAGTTACGTTACTAAAAGCAGCACCACTTAGCAGCTTCCTCTAATTCTCGGGGGTTGTTTCAGGACTCGAATTTGGTATTCAATGCGGTCTGATTGGCTGATCAATTTGCTCCTAAGTGTGGCCCCATTTGAGCTAGCCCAGTCAAAAGTTTCGCATTCACGCCTTCAGCGAGCCCGAAGAGATAACCTTACCCAACCAGTGAAACTCGTTTTTAAAACACGATATTACGTTTTAAACCGCGTACTAAACAGACAGCTTGTTTCCTGCCTTGGTGAGCCATGTTTGTGCAAGAGAACTCCAGTTGATCTTGCGTTCATGGTTTCTTTCCCCTCCGCAAACACCGTCCCAGCATCAGCACATACTTGATCCAATTCATTTAGCATTTCGCCGCTGAAACAACTCGCACTTCTCCAATCGCTGTGAGGGGTTTTCCTAGTCGTCTGTTGCTTTATTGACGGCACTCATTTACCATTTACCGTCTTCATTGATCGCTGATCCAGTTCGGGGAAAGCGAATTCTAGATCGGTAACAAACTCTGTCATTATCAGACTTAGTGCGCAATGCCGTCGAAGCTTCAGGAATGGCTCGACATTCCGCCAGGGACAATACTGCAGCATCTCCCGACAAAATCATGGGGGAGCTTGTCGGAGGAGGAGAGCTACATTCTCCTGCATACGCTCGTCGTCGCCACCGGCACATGGGCTCTGCTCTTCCTCGCGCTCCGCCTCTCGATTCTGTCGCGCGTCTCCTTTGATTTCTGTAACCGAGCCGTCTCGCAGGCAAGTTACGCAAGCGCGTAAAAATCCGCTATTGTTAAGGTCTGTATCCAGATTCAAACGTCTCAGCCCACACATTCATCGCTGCTAACAAAGCACTTTGGCTCGTTTTACAATGCATGCTACCAACTGAGTGTATGCCTCTCTCACGTGCTTGTTTATCGTCCATTCCGCATGTCTCATCGCCCTCTCGTCTCCCTCTCATCGCCAGGTGCACGTGGTCATTGCTTTCGCCCTTGCTACAAGGGCTCTCAACTGGTCGGATCCGCTCGGGAAGTTCGGAGGCCGCAACACCCTTCCTCAGGTGACTTCCTCGACCGAAGGATTTAGATTTCGGCACACTGTGTGTGTGTGAGGGGGGGGGGAGGGGTGGTGGTGGTTGAGAGGTGGAGGGGTGGGGGGGAGGTGGGGGGTTTATATAGCATATATTTTCGAACTGACTCAGCGAATTGTCCCCTTTTAGGCGAAGCAATGCTTGGCTCTCAGTTTCCTAGCTCTTCAGCACTTTTGACTAAGTCTGCTAGCAAGTGTGGGTTCATCTTGAAGTCACCATCCATTGGCATCGTTTCATTCTCCATGCTTCCTGGATGCATGCCAAAAGAACATTTGTGTTCGATCCTGCTCATCCAGCCCACTTGTTTGCGTGCCCCGTCACCACCAGACCCAAGCCATGGCGATCAGCCTGAGTTATTTCATCTATGAGACTGTGACTTCATCTGCTGCTTGTTCTGAGGCGCCTCAAAAGCCCATTTGTTTGCATACCACATCACCACTACCAGGTCCAAGCCATGGTAATCAGCCTCAGCTATTTCCTCTACGACTTCATCTGCTGCATGTTTGACGTCACCTTCGACTGGGCCAACGCCTTCCACCACATCTTCTCTATAGCCGGATTCGCCTTTGGTCTCATTTCTGGTCGGGTACGTACGTGGCGCTCAGAAACACCATGGATGAATCCGTGAGACGGTTTTGCACAAATTTTGAGGTTAGCTTAGCTGTCCATATCCCTCTCTGTTCTCAGCAGCCATCGTTGCACACCACCTGCTCCACTCTACTCTCACTATTTATCTCCCAACCATCCCCTGGAACAGTGTGGGGAGGAGCTGATGGCGTGCCTGTGGTTGGTGGAGCTGTCCAACCCCTTCATGCACGCCAGGGAGATGCTTCGCGAGCTGGATGCACCCAAGTCTGCTCTCACCTTCGCTGTTGATGTGAGACCAATTATAACATTCTGCATTGCAAATTTAGGAACAAGCTACTGTACCAACATGTGCACCGCACAACACATTCAAGCTACTAATTTCTCTGTGGACAAATTGTTGAGGCGAATATATATTTTAATTTATTGTTTCTCCCTGTCGTACTGTCACTTGTTTCCTGTCTTGCCAAATCCTTTTTCCTTGCCTGCTTCTCTGACACTTCTACTGCCTCCCTGCCACCCTCCATCTCTTGTGTGACATGGTTGCAGCTGGCTTTTCTCATTTCCTTCACAATAGCCCGAATGGTCGTTGGCCCGGTGGTAACATGGAATACTGTTATTGGGACGAGCCCCACTGCTGTTAAGGTAACCACTGGCGTTTCTCACTGTCCCACTGTTCAGCCTTGTTGTATCTTTTTGGGTTGCGTAGCAACCCCTTTACATTTGGTAGCACCTTTTTCGGTCGACTCGAATGAACAGTGCACATTTTTGTCATTTTCCCAACGTCTGAAGCACTCGCTTTAACGTTTTGAGAACGTGTGCTTCAAATGTGTGGAGATGACAACACTGCTACACAAGAGTCTCCCAAAAAAGGTGAAACCAAATGAGACCAATTATTCCATAATCGTCGATAAATACGGCGAATGGAAACAATTGGTAGCCTCTCCATATTTTACGGTACATCACACAATTGACGATACAACAAATTCGACGTGGATGCAAATTGCGGTACCGTATTTGCATCTACCGTATCGAACATGTGCAAAAACGACAACACTCAACAACAGCAAATGTCATAAAGTGAATGGCAAAATGCATCAGTGCTACAATAGCGATGGATCCGGTATGCTAAGGCGAGCAACGCTGCCCCAACAACGATCCCCACCTCAATTGCAGACCTGACACACTTTAACATGACACCTTACAACAAACACGAACAAGCACATGCGACATTGTACTGGTACAACAACGACAACGCATAACAATAATGAGTGTCTTGGGGAGAATGCTAGAATGCATCGATGATGCAACAAAGGTTGGTCTGGCACGCTAAGGCTATTGCCCCATCGGCGATCACAACCTGAGTTGCATACACGAGGCACTTCAGCACACGCCTTGAGACAGACACAAAACGATACAAACAACAAGACTGCACATACATATCTCACACAGGCTCACACACTCACATACACACTGACACGCACGCAAACAAGCACAGATACATACGGATAGTCAACACCCAACCATCATGAAATTCAGCTATTAATAAATAATCACTAGCCAATCACCCCTTACCCTCCCTACACCCCTGCCTCCCCCCCTCCCTCCCTCCCTCCCTCCCTACCTCCCTCCCTCCCTCCCTCCATCCCTCCCTCCCTCATCTCCCTCCCACCCCCTCCTTCATCTCCCTTCTCTGCCAAACAAAATCAACGAATGCAGCTCACGCGCCCTGCACAGAGCAAAAACAGATAATGCAAAGCACGCGCCCTGCACAAGAAAAAGGCAAAAACAAAGAATGTTCACACACTGTACAAACAAATCAATAAAACGCATAATGCTTCGAGGAGGCCAAGCAGGAAACTTGACAAGCAGTGGAAAGTTTGACAACTCACAGAGGTAAAATGGTGTGGCACCACAGTACTACGCCAACATGATGCAATACATTGCAGCCACCCTCACGTTCAACTTCACAATCACGCTCGCACTCACTCAATCTTGCACCCACTCACACACAGACACACAAAGACTCTCAACTTTCTTAGACACTCTCTCAGAAACACACAAACCTACACGCTCTCTCACGCGCTCTCTCACACGCACTCTCTCGCACACTCTCACGCGCACTTTCACGCGCACTCTCACACGCTCTCTCACGCGCTCCCTCACGCGCTCTCTCACGCGCACTCTCACGCGCACTCTCGCGGGCACTCCCACGCGCACTCTCACGCGCACTCTCACGCCCTCTCTCACTCGCTCCCTCATGCGTCACTCGCGCGCTCTATCACGCGCTCACTCACGCGCACTCTCACGCGCTCACTCACGCGCACTCTCACGCGCCCTCTCACGCGCTCTCTCACGCGCTTCCTCACCTGCCCTCTCACGCGGCCTCTCACGCGCA